ATAGGTGTGTTTCTTAATTGTTATTTCATTTCATTTATTTAAAACCTAATTTAACCAAATAAAACTATCTATTATAAAAATAACTGGTCTCCTAGTTATATAACCAAACAGTAAAGCACAAATCTTAAAATTGCCGTAATAAAATAGAAACGAGATTTCGTTTACACTATAGCGATCAGTGTCGACGTATATGAACTAGACACGTAAAACAAGCTTCAAAATCAACAATGGGATGAGAAGTCTACTTATGCTGCATAGTCTACGGTTTTATCTATGAAAAAGTATTTTTACACCGGTATTACACATTACAAAATAAATATTATACAATAGTTATCATGCATAGCATAAATAAGCAACACGAGCAACATCAAGCTTATGATAATATATTTCAGCTTACGTAATTAAAGTAAAACAGCAGATACAAAAAGTTATTCTATTATTCAACAAAAAACCATTTCATATATAGGCTACATCTATTTTATCGGTTTTATCTATGAAAAAGTATTTTTACACCGGTATTACACAATATTACAAAATAAATATTATACAATAGTTATCATGCATAGCATAAATAAGCAACACGAGCAACATCAAGCTTATGATAATATATTTCAGCTTACGTAATTAAAGTAAAACAGCAGATACAAAAAGTTATTCTATTATTCAACAAAAAACCATTTCATATATAGGCTACATCTATTACATATGTCGTCCAGGAGTAGAAAAAAATTGAAATACTTTTGGTTTTGCTACGTTGGCTGCACTTAACGCAACTTCTTATTGCCGACTGCCGAGTAGCGGCTGCTAGTCCATACGATAATTTGAGGACCATTGCACGATAATTTTTTTGTCTACTCAGGATCGATCAGCTGTCCCATCCGCTATGACGTAATTCCCGCGCGTTATAAGCTATGCCACGTTTTTAAAATTATAAGCTATAGAACAAACGAGATATTATAAGCTGCAGCATATTTGAGCTATACCATTATAAGTTATGCCACATTTTAAGAAAACCGTTATAAGCTATGCCACATTTCTACGATTATAAGCTATGGAACAATTTAAATTTTCCATTATAAGCTATGCCACATTTTCAAGATTATAAGCTATGCAACATATTCGCAATTATAAGCTATGACATTATAAATTATGGCATCGTACCGATCGCAAGATCTCAGGTTCAAGTCACATTCTCACGGGCAAAGACCTGGCTGAGAACAAGCCAGGCATAAGGCATAGATTGAATTTCGATCTGGAATGCACGTAGAAGAAATTGTAACCGATGGGAACAGTCGACGAGAAACAATATTGTTCCCATCGATTCCAAGAAACTATACATGCATAAATAAATAAATTTTACTTACGGTCAGCACCACGCCCTCTCTGGAGGCTGGACATGAGGGGAGAAGCCAATGAGGACGATGATCGAAGATATTCCACGGATGATTGGAGGGTAGGCGTTTCTCGAAGACATCGGGGGAAGAACCAAACATCGAAGGAGGGAAAGGAGGTATTGGAGACGAAAAGTGTTCATCAGTCTTGGAGCGGTCTCAAGAAGTGGCACTTCAAAGAAGAAACCGTCGGGAGTCCCGGATCGAGTAGGGACAGTGACTTAACAGGATAGTCTGAAGCACCTGTTAAGATCCCGACCAGACTCGAGATCACGAGGACACAACAACCTCACGGCTATCTTCAAGACCAAAGGCCACCACCACACTACCAAGGACCAAAGCAACCCGAAGAGGGCGGCCCATAGGACGAGCGACCGACGACGAGAGGAAGGACTACGCTTGGATCATTGTGTCTCGAGCGAGCAACCCCGGAGCACCCAGGAGTCTACGCCCGCACCAAATGAACGCCCGGGGAACTTTTCAATCGTTGCCCAACTGCCTCGTCTTGTGGTATGTCGAAATATCTTCACTCATTTGGTCATAGTGTGCACAACTTAAATGTGAGGGAAAACTCCATAAAATATAACAAAATCTACATATAAATGAAATAAATAAACTATAAGAAAGATAAATTAAATTGAGGTAAACATCGAGTAAATGAAGTAGGTAGAATTACGTTAAGGTTCATATAAATACTAACCCTCAATTAAACTAAAAGGGGTCAACCTAAACAAGAGCAATTTGAAGTTTGAATAAAACAGGATTCAAATCGAATCCAAATAAATAAACCTGTTAGTTGGAATACAAATATAGACGTGTATATAATAATAATAAAGACAATTTCAAACATGTGTAGATAATTGAAAATTAGGGTGTTAACCACATAAACACGTATTTTAAATGCTTGTTTAGTTAGTATACAGGGTGTTTTTTTAAAAACTTGCATCTTTATTTATGTAAAAACCGCAATAGATAGAAATATGCAGTTTGCGGGAATCATCTATTGACGTAGGGGGCCCAATTGTTTTGAATTCAACGTTACATTCACATTCCCCCCCCTGCCATCAACTTTTTTTTTTTAAATAGCAAGATACCCCTTGTGACATATCAAATGAAAGAGCATGAAAAAAGAAAATGTTTGATGAAAAAAAATTAAAAATCGGTTCATAAATTTGCGAGATAATCCCCCCCTTCCACGGAACTTGTTTTTTTTTTTAATAGCAAAGTACCCCTTGTGACATATCAAATGAAAGAGCATGAAAAAATAAATTTTTTGGTGAAAAAAAAATTAAAATCGGCTTATGAATTTGTGAGAAAATCCCCCCCATTTTCCCCTACCCATAACTTGTTTTTTAATAGCAATGTACCCGCCCTTGTGACATATCAAATGAAAAATAAATTTCACCAAAAATTTTCTTCTTTCATGCTCTTTCATTTGATATGTCACAAGGGGTACTTTGCTATTAAAAAAAAATCAAGTTCCGGCGAAGGAGGGGGGGGGATATCTTGCAAATTTATGAACCGATTTTAAATTTTTTTTCATCAAACATTTTCTTTTTTCATGCTCTTTCATTTGATATGTCACAAGGGGTACCTTGCTATTTAAAAAAAATAAGTTGGGGGCAGGGGGGAAAGGGGGGGAATGTGAATGTAACGTTGAATTCAAAACAATTGGGCCCCCTACGTCAATAGATGATTCCCGCAAACTGCATATTTCTATCTATTGCGGTTTTTACATAAATAAAGATGCAAGTTTTTAAAAAAACACCCTGTATATTATCAGAGGGATGAACTAACTGTAAATATCGGTTTAGATTTAGGATAGGACATTGCAAGTGTTTACAACTTATATTTTAAATACATTTAAGTGTCAAGGGAAATATTTCATTCCATATCATTATACAGATTATAAAATCAAAACATAGGGTGTAAATATTCAATCATATCATTTCAATTGTGTTTGTGATTTTGCCATTCTCAATTATTATTATATCACTGTGTAACAATTATTTACTCTTTATTAACTCTTTATTTTATGTACTTATTTTATGTGTGCACATTTAGTTAGACTTATTAAATCATAGTATTATATAGTGGCGGGAATCACCGAATTAAAATAACCGAATCAATCGGTTATTGATGCTGAATAGACTAATTCGGTTATTTTATCCTGGTTCGGTTAAATTAGTCTTACCGTGCGATTCGGTGATTTAGTTATTTAGTTTGTCACATTATCAGGGAACAAAAATTTATTCGGCGATTCGTTCGACTAAAAATCGCCGATTGACGCTAAAAGACTAAATGCCATTCAGTTTCCCATAGGATAAAAATTAGTTGTGGTTTGTGACAGTGAATAATGACTAAAATTCATTCGGTGATTTATTCAACTAAAAATAACCGATTGACGCAAAAAATAACTGATTGATTATTCGGTCATGGAAACCATTCGGTTATCCCATCACTAGTATTATACTGCACTGGTGTTCACTTATTCCACGATCCTAGAGGTCCTCCATCTAGTGAGTACTCTACCCTAGCTACATTTTCCCCCTTTGGAGTAAATTTTTGTTTGGTAAAGGTTTTTGTAAGTTTCTTTTACCTCTTCAGAGGTGTAGAGGCCAGAGAGCTTTACAAGTGGAATGTCAATAGTTTTGAATAAAAAAAAATACATTTTCCGTATTTGATCACAATACGTTCATTCAAAATTAAACTGGAACAGTGTAGCCTACTTATTCTCCAAAAGAAACATGGGAACATTAAATTTAGCTTTTGTAATTTTCTCCTTAAAAGCATAACAATGATTCAATATAGGTACAGGTACTGAATGGTTTGTTTGGTTAATCTGTACAAAATTGTTTGGAATGAAATGGGGAAGTTTCATGTTTTTATCGTGTGAATTTGGAAAGAACAAGTTTTACCTCATAGTGTGAAAATTATGGTTTGTGAACTCTTTCAAATAAACACAGATTTACACATTTTTGTATCAAATGTTATCAAAATCGGATCAATTTTGTTCAAGTTATCGTGCTACTAGACATATGCTATATCGTTCAGATGGTGTTTTTGGCCTCTGGGGACCCCAAAACAAAAAAGTAAATCGGTCCCGGGTTCTCACTATGAGACCTACCATAATAGTTTATTCCCTTTTATGGGAAATTTGATAACACTGTATTCCCCATATTGGAAATTTGCTAAATGCAAGCCAGTCTATGTTGAAGACATTGAAGAAAAATGTTTACAGAATAATAATTAACCTATAAATCAACTATAACTATGATACAAGGCATGGCAAGTGGTGATCGATTTTGACTGGAGACTCCAATCATCAGACCAAATAGACATGTGATTCGCCTATTGGGTCTGACGACGATTGGAGTGTCTAATCAAAATCGATCCATATTTTGCATGTCTTGTGAGTCAACAGTAAGTGTAAAAATATTAAATAAAGACATATTTATTAAGTTTTTACTTTCTGTACGCTTTTTTATAACTTGTTATACATCTTCAGCCAAAGTGATGTGTTTTATAATGGAGGAGTGCTTTGGTGTGGTACCACAGACTCCTAGAGTTGTATCTTATATCGTTGGGTAGTAATAACAAACATATAAATAAAAAATAAACAGACTGTTTTATTGGACACTTGTTATAACATATTTAGAGTGCAACTTAAGTTTAAAGATTATAAATGGACACAAGTTGTTAATATTACAAACGTAACATGCATCTTGTAAACATAGTGTAACTGTTATTACAGAGTAAAATTTAGAATTCTAATTATGATACAGGATGGGAAACTGTTAACAGAGTAGAATAATGGACAATTCTTTGGTTAAATAAAAATTAATAAGAGAGACTTTGATTTAGGTACTTTTATTCAAAACGATATAGATCTCGCCAGTTCTTTTTGGATAAACAATTAGTTATTTTAATATTATCAGCATACAGTATTAAGAAACCATTACTAGTCTGAACTAGGTCTGGCTGATTTTCATCAACCTGCTGACCAGCCATCCTAAAGTACAATTTATAGAAATAAAATACATTTTAAAAGTTAAAACAATAAGTTTAGCGTAATTTGTGCACAATATTTCTCTGCACAGCCATTTTTCTAAACATACAACAGTCTCGTAGGTAACTACGGTATAAGTCAGAAGAACTGTGTTTGGTTAGAAGACTTAAGATTATAAAGTGAATAATAATCAAAAGCCCACACTACCTAGAATAACAATATGGCAGGTTATTTAAGAGATGTGCAGAAATCCACTGCTCATTAACAGTTATTTAACCTATCTGGTTATCAAATATTCGGTTCATATCATTTACCAGTACCACAATTGTATTCTAGGTATAGCAGAAAGCTTTGCTATTAGTTATAGGAAAAAGTGAAGTCCAAAGGTATTTATATATTCTTTGAAGAACAGTTCACCGTTAATTCACTCCATCATAGTTATCAATCGTTACAAACGATATAGAGGTTCGGTTTTGATTAGGCTAAGTTTGGTTATCGATTAACTCGATAATTTTAAGTTACATTATACGATGGGTGGGATATCAAAGTTTCGCCCAAATTTCTTCCTCTGAAATACATTAGTCCAGTTTCTTTTTTATTAGAAATATTTTCTCTTAAACAAGTAAACATTTAGGAAAGTTACAGTAAAGGGTCTTGTCTCAAACTAATGGATTTTATACAGCATTTTTATGGACTAAAATAATCTTCTTAGCAAGTATACTAAAATGTTATATTGTTAAAATAACACGTCACTGGAAATTGCCCTTTTGGATTTTGAAAATGACCTATTTTAATTTTCTGTTTTTAAAACTGAAATATATCTCAGGAAAAAATCATGATTTTACTTGGCTTTCATAAAAATTTAAACCTCATTGAACCAAAACTTTGTATGATACTTTTTACTGGGGAGTAAAAATTATTATAAAAAGTTTTAGTATCAACAATGTACTATTGCAGATATTTTTTAGATATGAGGGGTCACATCTAAAAAATATCTGCAATAATTTCCAAAACTATAAAATGTCTACCAATAAATTTAAGAGTGAACCCTTACCTTTTTAATGCATTGCCAATAATAAGAACTGTATAAATCTCAAGCACAAAAATACCATTGACAGAGTAAAAGTACTATGGGACGCTTATGGATGTAGAAAAAAAATTATAAGAGTTTTCAGCTCAAAAACAGAAACGTGACTAGTATTTTGCAGAATTAAATTACAAGCTACATAAAATCAATGTTAAGCTCAAATAAATAAAAATCTTACTTAAACATTAAAAACTCTCAAGTCTACAACAAAATATGTGCGTACAGAAATATTTTGTGCCTATAACTTTGTGAAAACGCTTAGGTATAACAGATCATTTGGCTCCTAAACTTACGTAAGATACAATTGTCAAGAATCAATTAAGTATGTGGTACACATAACACTACACTACTCGGTTTAGTTCAAGCGCAACAAATCTAAGAGAAAATATCTATTAAGTATTTATAATAAATAATATCAAAATATAGCTACAAGCTAGTTATACTGGTAACACTACAGTGTTTGGGGAATATAAGGACTTATATACACTGGGTTTGTTATATACATTTGAGATACACTTGACGATGTATACAATCTTTGGTAGGTAGGTAATAGTGTCATGATCCAATCACAGTTTGAATTCAAATCTGAGAAGTTGGGTGGATTTCATTATAATCTACTAAAAGAGGATTTGAAAAAAATATTTTAATGCTCATGTAGTAATCTAGCCTCAACTAACACAGTTGTGGTATTCATAGGCCTACGATCTTCGATTTAGCTACCGTAAACGATAGTACTTCTATAAACAATAAAAGAAACATTTAATTTTTAGACCTTGAACACTAGCAAGAAAAACATACTAAAAAAGCTAATAAAATGTATACGCATTACAATAGCAACCATAATTCGTTTGCACTCGCCAAAATTGTGCAATATGACATAATTGTGACGGCAAAACAGATTCTAACACATTTTTAATTAAATTTGATTCAAACCACAAAGTTGTTGTTTTGAAAGCTGCACTATGAAGAAATTTGCCGCGTTCACTATTTATCATTTACCAGAGAAAATTTAATTTGTAATACAATAAATCTATATACGTCAGCAATAATATATAATTGTCAACATAATTATTTCAACAAATACAAAAATAATTAATGTCTTTATCTACATAAATATACTGACTCTCTACGTAACACAAATCCCACTCGTATGATTGGACAAGACACTAGCAATGCCGAAGCACCTATTTACATATCACAACAGACATACATATATTACACGGCATATAGGCTATTCAGTTTGTACACATCAATATACAGCTATTGTATACAATAATTTTGTAACTTTAAAAGCTAACATCTAAAACTGTATACAAAAGTTTCACTCAGATAAATATTGGAGCATGCGAAAAATCAGAAATAGTTAAGATACAATGGCTTTCTTTAAACTGAAAACAAAAATCTTAAAAAAAAGTTTATGGACAACACCATTCCTCAAAAGAGGAAAAGATAGAAACATTTCATCACCCTTTCTGCAACTGTAAGCTCATATCTATGATTTGTCTCTATAGCTCTTACTTTCTACAAAAAAGCATTAAAAATTAAAAATATTAAAAAGGGGACAGTTCTGACTACATACAATTATTATTTTAATACTTTGGTACAAATTATCAACTTGTCCTTTTAAAAGGCTTGTATATTTAAACAAATCAATTCAGCTATAGAAAATACCTTTCCTCAAACTGCTCATGAAATTAAACGCCATTATTATCATTATGCTGAAAGCTTCTCTTTAAAACTTGTAAATAGGAGGGCACATTCCAACTTAATCAAAAATAAGTATAAACAAATAATTCCAGTATGGTTAAGTTAAGCACCCCATATAATAATGCAATATTGTTTACATACATATAAAAAAATATAAAACAACACCAGTAAATAAATGTAGTAAAAAACCATAAATATAAAATTAAAACTAAGAGCGCTTACTTTTACAAGCTGATTTAAAATTTACTTTAAAAATTTGAAAATTAAAAAAAAACATAATTGGTTTGCTAACATCCAGTTGAGGAGATATTTTAAAACGCAAATAAAGTTCTTAAAAGAGAGAAAAACAAATATTGATAAAATAACTAACCTTATTAACCAAGGTTTAACAATCAGTTTCAGCTACCAACAAACAAATAATCAATTTCCTATGATTAAGAACATAAAAATAACAACATAAGGATTGATATGAGAAAGATACCTAAACAAAATTGGTGGGTACCGGTAGTGGAACAATATGAGTCTCCAGTCTCTACAGTTCAGTACTGTTATATTTTTTTATTCTACTATAAATTTGTGTTAATTTATTCTTAAAAATTAAAATCTTTAATCATCTGAGTCCTTTGAGGCTAGTGGCCATCTTGGATTATTTAAAAAAAGCCGTTGAAGGGTTATTTATCATAAAAAATGTTTTTTAATACCAAAGTGATTGTAATTTAAATATCTAGTGCACTGTGAGATTAGAAATTGTCTTTGTAGTTTTGTAGTTGTTTACTAGGGGGGTCCATGGAGGCTAACGGCCATCTAGAATTTGCCCGCCGTAAGAGCAATGTTAATTTGATTCATTTCAAACCGCCGCTGAAGAGTTATTTACCATCTCAAAATATTTTTTCAATTACCAAAGTGATTGTAATTTAAATATCTAGTGCACTATGAGATTTAGAAATTTTCTTTCTACTTTGGTAATTGTTTTATGAGTTATAACATCTAGGCTCCAAGGACTCTTGACCACATAAACAAAACCTTGCATCGACAAAATGGGTGGGTTGGATTAAATTGTTTCTCAATCATAATATAAAGCACATAATTTTGGTTAAAACCTCTGAAAAGTTTTCACAAACATGCATCATCTTGTCTGCTCAATAAAATAAAACAATAATAGAACATAAAAATAGCTCAGATAAAAAAATAATGCCCAGTTCTTAAAATTAATTAAAATATAAACTGTTTATATTCATCATGTTAAAATGGTTTATAGGCCTACTTTCAATCAACTTAACTACAGCCATTACTCAAATAATATATCTTACCTTTCCCCATAAAACTGAAGAATTTCACAACTAGAGAGAATTAAAATATATGTGGTAGTAACATAATAAAAGCCCATTCCTCAGTTTCGCCTTTGTAATGATGAAAATCATTAGTTCACCGAAGGTATTTACCTAAAAATAAAGCACGCAAAAAGCACAATAGAGGGTTAAAAAGTAAAAATCGTAACATCACATTCTATACCTTACGCTATGGTAAAAATAAATAATACTATAGACTATATAAAGATTCAACAAATAACAGACTAACTGTCGTTCAGCATGTACACGAAGCTGATCGGAAACATCCCTTTGACAGACGGGTCCCGCTCCAGCGCACCTTCCATCCAGTTCTCGTCTTCGGTGCTGGAGGACGTGACGAGGATGATGTCCCCCTCCTTGAAGGACAATTCGTCCTCGTTGTCCGCAGAACAGTCGTAAAGTGCTTTGCACCTCGGAGGTCGCGTCACTGTACTCGGCTGCTGTAATGTTTGCTCCAATGGGCAGTAGAAGTATGGCTGCAGAAAACAATTTATTAATTGTATGGCAATGTGAAACTTCTTATTGCAGTTGATTTGTATTACGGTTGCGCTTTGACTTTTAGGCCGTCGACACACGGGAAGACTGTTTTCCAACTGATATCGGCAACCAGTTGGACAAACTAGTCGCCAGCGTCCCGACCAATGTAGTTAGGTGGGACAGTGCACACGGTGCGACTGCGATGCGACCAGTTGAGGACCAGTCGGCGATCAGTCGTTAAGCAACCGGACCTGCCGGTTGCTAGGTGATTTCAGTCGCCTGGTTTGAACAACTTTTCGCATATTTGTATTGCGCTTTTCAAGGATCGGGCATACCAACTGTGATAACTCTTCGTAAGTACTTTTTGACATCCTGTTCATAGACTGAAATTTTGCGTCAGTTTCTTTTAATGCAGCGGCAGCTACAAAGAGCCTACATTTAATATTTGTTTTAACATAAGGATGTACCCAATACCTTCTACGTTCTTGATTTTCTATTAAACACCAGGGCTTCTTAATCACTACCACTCATTTCAAACACCATACACAGTACACAGTATCGTTATAACAAAATTAGAGCTGATTTACTGTCTCAACTCAACTACAGTCGCGCCCGTGTGCAGATTTAACCAACGCAACTGCAATCGTAATCGCGTCACAAAAATTGGTTCAACTTTAGTTGGGTTTCAGTCTTCCCGTGTGTCGACCGCCTTACATAGATTGGGTTGCGTTTATTTGACCTAATCAAACCCTCAATTAGGATGAGTAAATTTGTTTTGGTCGATTATTAGCCTCAGCACCACCTATTCATAATCATAGTTTCAGATATTTTTATTCAAAAGTTAGCCCCAGGGGCCTGGAATTGTTACCTCCTCAGGACATGCTAGTTGAACTTAATCTCTTAAAAAAATTCTTAATCAACTACTTGTTTGTTCTTAAAAATATAAGTTTTCAATGGTTTTTTAAAAATTGGTTGAAGTCTGTTATTTTTAAAGCATGTTATCCAGCAAAAAGATCAGATGACTCAACCCGGTGTATGACGGTTTCCTTTAAAAATTTAAAAGTTATGACATGCAGCTAAGGTCTTATGTTGTTAACTCATTAAAAATTTAAGTAAAAATAGATCTAGTTGGTCCTTTTAAAACTTTAGATATAGAATGTAAAGTTTTTGTCTCAAAGAGAAAATAAGATAAGACAACAATTGCAAACTATGAGGAGGTTCTTATGTTTAAACAGTTGGATGTTTAATATCTTGACTCTAACAGTGATTTATTGTATATAGTAGAAGACTGGTTCTGATTTTGCTAGAGGAAATCAGGATTATTATTTTTCAAAAAATGATCGAAACAATAAAATTCAATAATACAAGATCAAATTATATTACAGCTTCACAAGGAACCATATTCAGTATCTTACTGCAATCAACATTTTAGAAATCATTTTAGAAATAAATTCAATTTTGTGTCCATTCATCAGTCAATTACAATAATTTAAGGTTCAAAGAAATAATGAATTCAAATAATGTTTCGTACATTACTTGGTGAATGATAAAACATTGAAACTTAAAACCACTGTCTAAAATTAAAATTAAATAAGCGATGCAAAAAATAAGCCTCATTAATGATTTGTTTATTTTTTAAATCAGCATTAAGGTAAATGCATACGTTTTGGTATTATTTAAGTTAATACCAGTAAAAATACTCAACAAACCAAAAGTAAGTAGTAATTAAAAACAAATAAGTAAGAACTTTTAGTTTAAGCTAAAATATGATTTTATACAAAAAGATAAAATACTAAAAACTCACAAAACATTATTACCACTGTCATAAGCACCATCAATTAATTAAAAAACAAAATCATCATTAAACAAAATAGTACAAGCAAATGTAACGTGAAAAATTAACTTATTTGTGAAAATGGAAATGCTGAAAAATATTAATATCTATCTAAAAATCAAATAAACGATGATTACAGATCCATGCCGAACCAAAAGTAACAACTGAGCATGATGGGAACGGTCCATGCAACAACACTAACAGGAGGCAAGTTTACCTCACTCTCTTCTGCATAACTCTCGAGTTTTGAGCATTCAGGTTTTTTCTGAAAATTTTTAATTTAATTGACTTAAAACCCAGTTAAAAAAAATTGTTATACTTTATTTCTTATTTATATAGGTTGTAAAAACTACCTTTACAAAAAACCCCAAAATGGGAAGTGATCATGAAGAAGTGGATTAAAAGTATTATCCAATAAATAAAACAACACAAATATTTGCAATTATCAATTTAAAGTTGTTTTAGCAAGTTACTGTAATAAGATTGTGAAAACATTTTTTTAATTTAAGACTATATCTTTATGATTAAGATTTTAAATCCCTGCATTTTAGAGTCTTCATCACCCTCGGTATAGTTGCGTTTTGGGGATATGGCCTTGGGGGGAGGGTGTTGAGGACAAGCGGGTAGCCCGGGGTCATTATGAGTGTCATCCTGAATACATTGTAAACACCTGACTACTAAATCAACACGGTGATTCATCTGGCGCCTGACCCAAGTTTTGTAAAAGGCTAGTAGCGCAGTAGCCTCCGACTAAACATGTTAATTTCATCCCCCTTTTCGGGCACTTTTTTTCAAAAGATTTTCTTGAAATTTGGTTTTAATGTAGTTGGATATATTAGAGCTCTTATGCATCATAAACTTGAAAAAATAAAAAAATAATTAGTTTTATCAGTGTTTAAAAGTATACAATAGATACTTTGTAAAAGATTTAATTTTTAGATTATTTTTTTTATTTTTTTGTACTTACTATTGATTTTCTTGGATATGTATGAGGGCCCTAGAACCAACATTAATCTGTAAGGGTAAAAAGTTTTAACATTACATCTTTACACATGCCATCCGGAGCGAGGGACGTCCAACGTCCAAGGCATGTTTTTATTGTTTTTGCAGGGGTGAAGAAGACTCCTAACTTTCACAATTTTGTAACATTAAAATCACTAACCTTTTCTTCCAACGGACACCATGTGTAAACATTCATGATTTTATAATCTGATTACTCGTATGGGCACCATTGTTTTACACTTTATCACAAGTATAATAATTTCTATAAAGGAGTGAGCACAAGTAAGTTTACCTTGCGTGGGGGAGGCACGGGGTTGTTGTGGGCTACGGAGGACTCAATGTCAGACATGAGGGAGGAGATACTCTCCGTGGACTGGCCGTTGGACAGACGGGAGGACGGCAGAGATGTAGGCGCAGGCGGGGGAGGACCTCTAGGCCTCTGGATACCACCTTTTAAATATATCGCTTGTTAATATTGGTTGAAAAACTATATTATAAATATTTCAGCTTGAGACCTTAAAAACATAACATACAACATATAATTTTTATATATGTTCCCAATGTTAGGATTTTATATCAAACAACTAAAACTTGGTAGGAAAGTCTGATGCTTGGTGAATAGGTAAAATATTTCGGCTGACAGATATTTATTTACATCGCTATTTGCCAAAGAAGATATTGAACTATAATTTAAAACCTTTTACGTTTAAAACGTTTACCTGGAGGTTTTTCCATATTGGTTGACTTGAGAGTTGGAATTTCTCCAGGGGGAATGACTAGTTTGGCACCAGCTGGAAAAAATGGTAAAGGTTACCAAGGTATTGTTAACTGTGATGTATGTAACTGATTTAAATATATAAAGCTCTCTGCTAAATGTTATGGTAAGCAGAATCAGGAACCTATGTATCCTGTTTTGGTTATGGAGCGAGTGGCGAGTGTGGAGTATGGTTAAGTGTCCTGTTTTGGATGCAGAGTGTAGTAGGTTAGTGATAACTTACCAAGGTGTATGAGCCTGGAGGAGTCTGTAGAAGGGCTGCGCTTGTGGTGGTTCAGAGTGTGGTAGGCAGGGTTAGGGTCCGAGGGACTCCTATTGTGGTTGTGGTTGGAGGGCAAAGTTCCGTAGTTGGCTGGAGGTAACGGGGCCACTCGCTTCTTTAGACTACCGACGCTGGCAGCTAAACAAATAATTACATTAAACAATGGATGATTAGTGATTACTGATTAATTATCTCAATCATATGTAGGTACATGTGATACCATTTCACCAATACGTTCAGACTCAAAGCCTTATGATGAGTTTCATTACTTACTTTTTTTTACTTATTATTATTTTTATTACTTTTTATGATGAGTTTGTGCTATGAACCTAAAATCAAGTACTTTCCTTGAACACTTAAGAGGCAGCAAAATGAGTGCTAAATAGCTGGGTAGCTGAGTGGTTATAGTGCCTTGCCTGAAAATCAAAGTTTGCTGGATTGATCCTGAGAAAAGCCAGAAACTTTTTGATGGTTCCAAACTTGATCTGTATGTCTTTGATCATTGCGGTATTAATAAAAGGACCTCAATATAGAAACATTTGGTCTTATTCAGTAAAAGATGTACACTAGGCATCTCTTTCCATTCTACACTCATATTTGGGTTAAAATACACCCAGTTCCATGCCTATCTCAACAGATAATGATAAAAGCTACATACCTGATGCAGCCGTGGTGGGGGGTTTCTTGTTCTGCGGGGGTGGAGGTGGGGGCATGGGCTGCCGGTAGCTGCTACTCTTCAGCGAGTCACAAGTAGACGAGCGAGATCTCATATTGACCGGTGACTCAGTGTAACTTGGAGGTCGGGACGGCTGTTTTCTCTCCGGTGTTACACAACCGTTCTGTACCAGACAAAGCAAAATAATTAACAATTGACAATATGGTCATTTTGAGTTAAAAGTTGTTTCAACCAAGAGCACAAAGACATAGGATTTGTGATTTTTCTAGGATAGCTTTCCTGAATAGGATAGAAAAGAGTCCATCTGGTACAAGAAACACAAATAACATGTTCATTATTAACATATAGGTATTTTAATATTTCATTTTGACTGACAGCTTTAAATTTGAGTTGAGAAGCATTTTTTATTTTCTCACTTCCAAGGTTCCAAATTATGTAAGTGACGGTAAAATACTCAAATTTTCAAGTAAAAAATTAAGTATTTTGTGTTGTGTGAGACTCTTTCCTATTTAGCTCAGGCATAGTAAAAACCATTAGTGAATAAGTCTAAGAATCGTAAACTGAAAGTGTTACATTAGGTTAAATAGTTGAAAACAAGTATAAAATACATTTAACAGATCAAAATATTTCACCATTTTCATTCATCAAACTAAAGGGGACCGCGCCGAACTTGGACAACGACACACGCGGACAATGTTAAAGTTGGACAGATTAAGTTTCCAGGGTTGTCGTTTGCGTGCAACGTTAAACTTGGACACATTTGAATGTGTCCAGATTCGTCGTGTCGTGCAACGCCACCCCTGGACAACTTATAAATAGGGATGGACGAGTCCCGAAATTTCGGGAATTTTTCGGGACAAAAATATTCCCGATTATTGGGACGGGATTACATTTGATTCTGGAATTTTTCGGGACGGGATTTGGTCCGATCGCCGGCGATTTTGCCGCTTCGCGAGTGCCGATGACGCCGCTATTGCGAGCGATAGGTCCGCGAACGCAGGAGACGAAGTCATTTCGACGATCGCGCCGTGACCGCGGAGTCCTATCGACGATCGCGCTGTGACCGCGGAGTCATACCGACGATCACGCCGTGACCGCGGAGTCATGCCGACGATCACGCCGTGACCGCGACTCATACCGGCGATCACCCCGTGACCGCGGAGTCATACCGACGATCACGACGTGACCGTGGAGTCCTACCGACGATCGCGTCGTGACCGCGAGTCATACCGACGATCACGCCGTGTCCGCGGAGTCCTACCGAAGATTGCGCCGTGACCGCGGAGTTCTACCGACGATCGCGCCGTGACCGCGGAGTCATGCCGACGATCGCGCCGTGACTGCGGAGTCATGCCAACGATCATGCCGTGACCGCGGAGTCATACTGACGATCACGACGTGACCGTGAGTCATACTGACGATCATGCCGTGACCGCGAGTCATACCGACGATCACCCCGTGACCGCGGTCATTTTGACGATCGCACCGTGACCGCGAGTCACAAGTTTCTATGGGTACCTGTATATAGTTACCCATTCTTTGGTTTTTATAGATCAGTACCACAAACGGTAAAAATTGATTTTGTATGTCTTTTTTTGGTAACTGCAATACTCAAGACTTTCTTTTTATGCACAGAAAAAATCCCGTCCCGTCCCGAAAATCGGGAAGGAAATAAAAATCCCGTCCCGTCCCGTCCCGAACTAAAAATTCAATCCCGTCCATCCCTACTTATAAACGTGTCCAGGTTCGTCGTTTGCGTGCAACGTTAAGCTTGGACACATTTTAATGTGTCCAGTTTCGTCGTGTCGTGCAACGCCACCCCTGGACAACTTAAAAACCTGTCCAGGTTTGTCGTTTGCGTGCAACGTTAAACTTGGACACATTTGAATGTGTCCAGTTTCGTCGTGTCGTGCAACGCCACCCCTGGACAACTTATAAACGTGTCCAGGTTCGTCGTTTGCGTGCAACGTTAAACTTGGACACATTTGAATGTGTCCAGTTTCGTCGTGTCTAAACGCCACCCCTGGACAACTTATAAACGTGTCCAGGTTCGTCGTTTGCGTGCAACGTTAAACTTGGACACATTTGAATGTGTCCAGTTTCGTCGTGTCGTGCAACGACAAATGTGGACATTTCTCTTAAGTCTCTTGTTTTGGGACCTGACTGTACATTCTACCTGTCAAAGTCCATTGTTTGGGATTTCAACCAAGGTCCCACTAGAAAAACACGCCATGCTGAAGGTTCATGACGTCACCCTAGTGGATAGATTCACTTCAATATCCCATATGTTTTAGGTAATAAAGCTGGCTGTTTTCAGATTTTACGGTTACATTTTCGTACAACTATCCACCACTGTGACGTAGTGTTGCACATAGTCGGTATTTTTGGATAAATAAAAGTAAACGAATATTTTCTATTCCCTACGGACGGAAAACTAACACTTGCTCGGAAAACAACACATGTGTGTAGTATAAGTCTACTTTTTAATCGGTGAATAGCAAGACAACTAAATCGCTGAACGTTAATATTTCGTGCTTGGTGACTGGCGCATGTCTGGAACCGCCTTCAGGATAAAGAAAACGCATCCCTCAGGCTTTTGTTTTGCATTATCCATGTTCGTCGCCAATCTTTCAGATCAGTTGAACTATACTCTTTCTGTTTTCATAGCTTAGTATTATCATAAATTTTCCGGATATTATGGATTAAATATGAATTAAATAATCATGACAGTATTAATAAGATTACATATACGTCTTACGTTGTCAATCCTAATATAGTTTCGGGCGACTATTTCAAAATATCTGTTTGGTTTTCAAGCCTCTTCATTTCACATAAAACTATTTTTGATTGGAATGTGTGTATTAAGACCAGAATTTCTATTTATTAGCAGGTAAATATTTTATATGTTGTCCATACATAACAAATATGAAACGTAGCTTCTATCTTCAAACGTGACTTAATAAAAAATAAATAGTAGTTCAGGTTTATTCAAAAAGTATCGGTGCTATTTGCACATTTTCACACATTTTGTGTGACTGCACAAAAACGAGTCATTCGTATATCGTTCATCTCAAGTAATTGAAAACCATTGTAGGCCTAAATAAACTCACATTATTGACACAGTAAAAATTACCAACATAAAAATTCTGCATTTAAAAATGGTATCATTACAGTATTATCATTTTTAAAGCTGCACCATATTATAGGCCTTAAGACTTGATGTTATAACGGTTAATCACATATTTTATAGATTATTGGCCTATATTTAACATCGGAGTTCCTCTACCAATTAGATTTAGTCTCAAATGCAACATCTGTTATGATCTGGAACTAAGTTTATATTTTCCACTACAATTTTCTTACAAATTCTAATAACCAAAAAGCTTTTAGTATTTTGTTAGCCATTTCATGACTGACACTTTTGTATGCTGAGGTGGCCACTTGGCAATGGTAGGTTTAAACTACTAGGTGGCGTTTGCAGAAGCATCCACAAAATTGAGCGGAATCATCAAGGGTTCATAATATATTGTTTTTGTCATGCTACATAAAAACAGTCGTTTTTAATGCATGCGTTGCGGGTCTTAAGTAGCATTTTTACTCTTTAGGGAGTAAGAATCATTTTTAGCCTCTATGGAGTAAAAATCAGCTGTTGTCAACTCAGTTGTAAATTTCTATTGTAAACGATTGCATATATCGAAAATATGTATCCATTCGTGCTTCGTAACCATTTTAACCTACAGTCTACACTACAGTCTCTTCCCATAGCATTTTAGCATTGTAGATACATTATTCCCACACTCAACACTGCTCATCTTTATTACTTCCTTCACCTAACCCCATACGTCCGTGCTATGTCCATGATTCGCAACGAGAGAGAATATGTTCCATAGATATACTGGATGAAAAGAACCAACGAATAAATAAACACAATTTCGATAGATCAGCAGCCTGATCATTTTCAAATTACTTTTAGTATAAATTTATACGATATAATGAAATAAATTACGTTATACATTTGAAAATTCCAATATTAAGCGTATTCATAAGAATAACGTAGAAACTTTTAAGGCAGGCAGGGCAGAGCCCTAGGAGAGTACTCTTAAGGAGAATAAGTGAACTGTTGTTGTTTGCTTGTTTATAAAAAAAATTTGATCAAATTTGGAAAATGTATTTATTTATACTATACTGTCAACATTTAACTATAAAAACACCTTCCCTGTAGCAGCATACATAAAAACTCGTTAAACTAATGTTATAGTAATAGGGAATAAATATTTCATTTTTAAGGAGATATTTTATTGACAACACAGTCAGACTAAAGTAAAGTAGCTTTTAGTCTGCAGGTTCGTTGTGGCGGGGGTAGTTATAGTTCCGTAACGGTTTTGCAAAGTATTACCCGTAGTGGATTCACTAACGATCTCAAATACACGCCTGATATGTTGTTATTGTGTATCACTGCTATTTTGCTGCTTTGTTCAAATAATCCTCAAACGAATCAAAATTATTATTTCAACCTATGTAGGTACGATATGTGATCGTAGGATACGATAGACTGCACATTGTGAAACAGGTTTAGTCGAGCAGGATCCATTTACACATAATTAAATAATCCATAACAATTTGACTGCTCTATTGCAGTTGTTTCGCCACGAAAACGTTAAAATCTAAGGCATCTGTTTGCTTCATTTTGTTAGTTTATCCATGTTAGAGGTTGAAGACTGATACGTTCAATCATTGAAAAACCAAGGACAAACCCCCAGACAAAAACACTCCACATATTTTGTTTCTATAAACCATTAAAAAATTTTGATTTCAGCCGCTGCTCCATATTACAAATGTATGTTTTGAAGATTCAAACGTGCCAAAAACAATGGACAGCTAATTACTATTGAAGGGCACTAAAAATCACTTAAATATGGCAGTTTTCAAAAACAATGGACAGCTAATTACTATTGAAGGGCACTAAAAATAACTTAAATATGGCAGTTTTAAAATGAGCCTTAATTAACTTTTCTACGACACTTAGCAACACGTATATTGAACAAAAGCTGTAGATTTGAACCATCCATTTGGGACACGGTGTATCCAGGTCCCATAGGTTTTAATTTTTTATTAACATCCAGCAAACATTTACAACGACCAAATAAACATGCAATTAAATTACCGAATTTATAATGTGCAATGTGTTTTGCGACTATGAGTCACTACAACACAGTGTATTAGTAGCAGTGTGTTAGAAAGAAGCCTTGTAACAATAAGGCGTATTCACGGCATTTCTGTTTTAGGAAGCTCATTCAGAGTTTACTAACCGAACGAGACTGAGAATTTGATGAGCCTGGTGTACAGTCTGTTCAAAAACTAAGAGTGTCCAGGTTCGTCGTTTGCGTGCAACGTTACCCTTGGACACTTTTGAATGTGTCCAGATTCGTCGTGTCGTGCAACGCCACCCCTGGACAACTTATAAACTTGTCCAGGTTCGTCGTTTGCATGCAACGTTAAACTTGGACACATTTGAATGTGTCCAGTTTCGTCGTGTCGTGCAACGCCACCCCTGGACAACTTATAAACGTGCCCAGGTTCGTCGTTTGTGTGCAACGTTAAGCTTGGACACATTTGAATGTGTCCATGTTCGTCGTTGTCTGCTTTTATCGTTGTCTGATTGAGGCGGTGTCTGCTTTTAACGTAGTCCACGTTTAATGTTGTCCAACTTCGACATCGTCCCAACTAAAGCTACAACATATCATTGCAAGTACATACTCTGTCTTCAATGACCGTTTCGTCATCTGAGCCTTCAAAGTCAGTTGAGCCTTCATCATGGGACAGGTTCCAGTCAATGTTGATGTTCTCGAAAAGTGACTTTTGTCGGTCCGAAACATGCCTCAACTGTAAACATATATAATTGTATTCAAAATACTTACACTTATAGACTGTATTGTAAGAAGAATCCTAAGCATAAACTGCCTTCAAAGGTAGTTTCTATTGCTCATATATAAATAAAGTTGAATCTTTACTAAAATAAAAACTCATCTTAAATCACTCATAATTATTATTATGTGTTCAATTACTGATTAAAAAACAATTAAAAATGTTCTACTTATAGCAATGTTCTTTACCTTAAATTTTGTTTAATGTTATATAACAATGTCTATAACAATAACATAAAATTGGTCAAAAAATAAATCACATTTTGTACTTAGAATGCAAAGAAATAATTTGATGAGTAGCCTTCTACAAATTATGCCTATAGATAGGCAAATATTCTGAAAAAATAAGGGGCCAAGCTGGTATAAAATGTCAGAAATATGAAATGGCTTTATTAACATGTTTATCTCATACAATCTAGAACTAACCAATACAAGTTCTACTAAGTTAATGGTAGGGGCTACAATCTCAACTAGTGTGTATCCAAGAAGCCAAAACTCCCACCACCGATTATCAAACAAAGTACAACACAAACCCTATTCACACTGACCAGCTCCTCGCAAGTGTGGTGTCCCTTCTCCGTAGCAATGTCCAGTGGTGTCTTGTCCTGAGCATTACGCAGTGTTGGGTCTGCTCCGCTACGCAGCAGCAGCTTCATACACTCCGGCTTGTCATGGATCGCACACAAATGCAGTGCAGTATTGCCCCCTCCGTCTCTGTACCAAATAAAATAATATGTACTTAAAAAAAAATAAGTAATGAGAAAAAAATAAACACACACCTCCAGTGAAACAAACCAGTCTAAGACTTGATAATTGTACAACATAAAAAATATATACTTAGAAATAAATTAAATGGATGACCAAAGGTTCCACAGAAAGTCATGTTGTACAAAGAACATTCAGGAAATAAGCTTATGGGCTGAAAGCCTGTGCGTAGGCTCAGTCACTATCAGCAACTTACTTAATGTGTGTTAAACAAACACTCAACACATCAACATTACATTGTAACATCATAACGTCCTGGTACAGTTCATTATAATTTTTTACAAAAAATAAAATTAGGTAGTAGAATGTTGATAATTGGATCAAAAACCCGGACTTGCCTATAGTAAGAAATAAAATTTCTTACTGTCTTTTCAAACAAATTAAGGACTTGGCTACAACAAAACGAACCACTATCACAGTTTTGAAGCCTATAAAACATTTTTTTTAAGCTCTGTGGCGTCTGATGATTTTACTGTAGGCCTACACTGTACACATGTTGCTATAAATTAATTATAATACAGTGCTTGAACATAAATGTTTTTAGTTTACCTCTCTTTTAGACTATTTATTGTACCTAAAAGAGAACATATACAATTTAAAAAAAATTTTTTTACTCGAATAGCCCTTTATAAGGAAATTTTGATAATCCGGTTGATTTGATCATTAGGATGGGGTTTGATCCCAATTGATCTGGATTATTGACGTTCTTCTGGTCAAACATTTGTGTCCCTAGATATTTATGAACATTTAAAATGCCTCTCAATAAACTGAGTTTTACTTCCATTACTAGTGTGTTAGGTTTGCTGTAGATTTACCTTTAATAAGAATTACCTTTTTGTAAAAGTTAAAAACCACATATTTCAAATACAAACAATGAATTTATTTACCCAAAAACTTGGTGAACTAACCTTCCAGAAGCTGCAGTTATTTTGTCCAGCCCGGCTGATCTCATGTTTTGGACAAGAAAGTCCACAATACACAAAGACAAGCCGATCTCTCTGATGACTGCTAGATGTAAAGCAGTCTCTTCACTGTCCTGTAACAATATTATGTAGATTTTAACTAAAAGTAAACGTAATAGTTCAAAATAACCCTTATGTGTTTTAAAACCTTGTTTCACTATCCTAGACAATTTATACGGCTGTGGAAAAATTGATTGAAAAAGTGAGGGAGTGACGGCAATATTTCAGTGAAAACACATCTAATAAGTATAACTTTTTTTATGCACTAGAACGGTAATCTTTTGCGATGGTACATGAACGGAAATTAATTTTAAGTTCAAAAACGTTTAACATAAGATATTTGAAAAAATGAGTTCTTGGTTAAGATGACATGGATAAAATTGTGGTGGAAAACATTTTTAATTGTTGCTCAACTTGTACAGGAGATATAATAAATAAACTGGAGTAAATATTTCAAATTATCTATTGTTATATGCAAATTTCGCTCATATGGAAGTACTGTAACAATTTTTATCAGGTAATGGATTACCTGATAGGGAGGAGTTCTCTATCAGAAAGAAAGTTTTTGTTTGAGAATCTTATTTTTTGTTTATTTCTAGAAAACATTTTTTATATCTAGATAGCTTAGAAGGGCCTCAGGACCCTTAAGCTGTGGCAATAACACAACTTCAAGCATTGGTGATTTGAGGGTTTTGATCTGGGCAACCAGGACCAAATTCCCACGAGACAGGCCGCACCCCACAACTGTTAAATAACTGGGATGGTAAATAAAATAACATTTAAATAAATAAATTGTATATTAGCATAACAATTAAATTACCGAAGAAGGTAGAGGTGCTGAAAGGTCCGCTCCTTCCGCAAAGACCTGTAGAAGATTCCGCAGATGGTTGTTCTTGACAGCATGCTCGAGGTCACTCAACAGCTCGTGCTCGTCTGAACATGTTTTCTTGACAAAACGCTTCTCCAGATACTTGGCCCGGATGAATGAATACCTCTCATCCCTAAAACATCAGTGTCGAGGGATAATGTTGAGACCGTGACATCACATGATGAGTGGAAATTCATAAAATTAGTGAGAAATAAAAAAGTTATATCATATTGTGGTGGTGGTAATAATTTAGTTTATATTAAAACTTAAAGCTTTATCTTTAACCCAAATATTCCAACAAAGGTTATTTAAGAAATCAATCTTCTTCAATGGTCTATAAAATAATTAAAAAATTCTCATTTAAAATCATTATCCTTATTTCAAATTTTATTTCAATAACAAGAGACGGCACTGAATGTATCAATGGGTCGACACTTTAGGGTAAACAGTAGGGTGACCACCAGAAACTCATGTAACATCAATGGACTTAAGGAGATTAAATGAAAGACAAAAAAAAAATTGAAAAACATAAGAATACATAAGAACATAAGAAGATAACATAAGCAGATTTTGAGAATAAACAAACTCTAATGCAAACAGTCAAACATCACTAAATATTAAAACTATTAAGGCCTGGCGCACACGGTCGATTTTTCGATCGGCCGATTTAAAAATCGGCCAAAAATAAATCGCCCTTGATTTATGTCCAGGCGCACACGTGGCGATTTTTTAGTCGAGAAATTGATTTTTTTGAGTGCGTTTAAGCTATCCTAAAATGGACTTTGTTGAATTAACCTGTGTTTGTGCTCTTCTAATTAGACCAAAGAAAAAAAGAAGACAACTTAAATATTTGGTTCATCCGATAGTAAGTCAGAGACTTTTAAATTGACAGTTTTATAAACTATACACTTTACGTGATGACAGAAAAAGTTCTTTAATTACTATAGAATGTATGTTGAAAGTTTCAGTTTTTATTATAACAGCTGTGGCCTTTTTAGCAAAGAAAACGACACAACTCACACTGAAGTTCATTGACTAATGTGGAGAACAACAAGCGACTGGCCGATTTTTTAGTCGATCGTGTGCGCGGACTGATAACAACCTGTACGTTACAGATTTTTGGGCGACAATCGCCTCGCCTACGAATCTGTGGCAAAACCCAGATTTTTAAATCGGCGCAATTCTCGATCGCCTGTGTGCGTGCTTCCATTCAAATACATGATGCACAGATCGGCCGATGAAATAGTCGCCTCAAAATAATCGCTCGTGTGCGCCTAGCCTAACTTGTTTTAAATGATAGATTAATGTGGACTTTTCCCATCATGATAAGTAAAAGAACAAGTCCTTACTGATCTGGGTGAGAAAGTACTTATTAAAAATTATAAAAACGGACCCTTGATTTTCCAAATGTGGAAAAACACTAAAAAAGACTATGCAGAGAACTGTATAATAGTTAAAACAAGTAACAGAAAGCTTAAAGAAAACAGAGTGCTTAAAGAAAAACATTTACCTTTATTTTTGTCCCAATCCAAATAAAGTTGTTCTGTACTACAAGATTTGAACTGGGGCGAAAATAAAGGTAAATTAAACAACTATACAGCCTTACCAGTTCAGGGGCAAACCCCAACAATGAGTTAGAAAACGATAGAGTATGGAAACACAATGGACATGTCTAGACAAAACAGACTTCTACGTTTTTACAACCTTACCTAAAGACTTCAGATTATGAAACGTCATAAAAACTTGTTTTCCACAAAGGAAAAAATGTTTGTAATAATCCCTTAAAAAACCAAGTAGTCCTACAGTTTTACATTATATAGTACCATCATACTCAACAATTGTCTAGGTGAGTGGTAATAATGTTTGCCTACAAATCTGAAGGTCGCTTCTTCAATTCCGAAGATTTGTTCAATATTGTTTCTGGATCCAGATGCAATTGTCATTGGCCTATAAAGATGGTATCTAACCAAAAGATCAAGTTTAAATACAAGATCAGGGTATAGATTGTTCCCCTGCAAAAACATTAAAAAATGCCTATGGCATAGGATCACTAATAGATAAACAAGAAAGAACTTATGAATGACTCACATTGAGCTGGAAGGATTAGGTTTGGTATCCGTGTCGAGGTTCGCCTCCATGACGTCGTTGAACACATGATTGGTCATGTGACGGGCCAATAGCAGCTGCGAGGTGCCGATGTGGTCCAGAGTGAGACTTTGTATCCGGGATATGTGGACTCCCAGGTCCCGGTGTATCCCGGAACACTCGATGCACACCACCACGCCAAAGTTGATACTCAGCCAGGTAGTGTCTGGAGGAAACAAGAGTCAAAAACTGATTACAAATTGGTGTTGTTGAAATTTTTACGATGTTTGTAATATACGAATATGTAACTGGCTGGTGACTGTTCAATGCAAATGTAAAACCTAAATTTTAAGTCTAGACAAGTATAGAATCTTTTTTGATAAAATGTTCAAAGCTGACATTTAGCCTGTTCTACTTGTTCAAATTTCAAATCATTCCATTCTTTAAAATAACAATTTAGTTTGTAATTATATCCCTCCCTGCTATTACAAATTAAAATAGCAGAATAAAACCTCAATTACAAGGTAAACTGGAAGTTGGAAGTGATAAACTAAAATTAATAGTGTTTTTTTATTTACCGAAAAAGTCGTGAATTTAGCAAGTTTTAAAAATCACTTGACTTCAACAAAAATACAGGGTGACTGACAGAAACCGGACGTTTTTTAAATCAATAGTATAGGCCTACCCCCAACAGTTATTGTCCAAAGGGGGGGGGGGGGGGGTAATTCCTTGCTGTAATGCTATGTTTATTTTCAACAAGATCTACCGCACACTCTGACCAGGATTTAATGGCCGTGGTTTGTATTACGTTTCTAGGAAGGGAAGGGTTATTTCTTGTTTCTGTGGTGTTCAGCAGCCCCAAGGTAACCAGATTTGAGCATGTTTGCATTTTTTCTTTCAGGAGTTCTCAAATTTGACGTCTACACTCATATATCCCAAACCAAGATAAGATCTTAGGGACGCAATTAACTAGGAAGTAGCAACAATTAGCGAGCAGGATTGGATAGCGATCTAAGCGGCCGAACTAAAGCGACTATATTTAGTAAATATTATATTTCTAAATTCCAAGACTTAAAGACTATTTCAATGTGAAACATCGATAGCTCCATTTAATATAAAAGTACCTGTTTAGCACCCTGCTTGAAAAAAGAACAGCGAGAATTGTTCATATTTAAAGTGAAGGTATTTAGACTATAAAAATTACCGTTCTGAGAGTTGCAATCGCAGCAGTGGTCGTTGCTGGGCAGCCGCTGTATGTGTCGTATGATGGCTTGCTGCAGCTCCAGCAGTGAAGGGTTGGCACCACTGGAGCTGCCCGTTGCTTTGCCACCGTCATCAAACGCTCGGTATAGCGCAGACTCCCTACAGTTGATCAACACCGACATCCACGCTCGCTGGTCTGTCTCATCCTCCGCTTGGAAGTGGTACGTGCGATTGTCTGTGAAACAACAGTACAATATTACCACAATATTACATCATATTTATATACAATATTATAAATATACAAGCATTGACTATTGGATACAGAAGAAGACATCCCATCTATATGGATCAGCTGTCGCCAATTTTTTACTAAAAAAGAATGTAGTTGTGTGAGCCAATCACAGATTGCGCTAGTGTCTAAAACTCTATTTTGTACCTTACTGTATTTTTTGTTACTGACATAGTTGCTGGGTCACAACAGTTGCTATAGCTCATAAGTCATTCCATCAGTTTGACTTGGTAAAAACCATCATGTAATCAGTAATTTAGATCAGCGCAATCTGTAGGTGGCTCACATCAACTAAGACCAATTTTATTAAAAACCTGGCTACAACATTAAAATGGGGATGGAATGCACGGGCGTCGCCGCCATAGGGGATATGGGGGACGCGTCCCCCCCAATATTTGAAAAGTCAGTTTTGTAAATTTAAATGTACATTTTTTTCTTAAAACACGCAATGCCATAAAACAGACATCATCAATGTGGTTTTTATTTAACATAATAAGCGATGGCAGGAGTAGTGTTAAGTTCCACATAGATAAACTTTGCACAACGAATAAAACAAAACAATATTACGCTATGGAAAGTTGTACGCATCATCCAATTTTTACAGCAGTCAGCTGTAGACTAGACATGCTAGGAGGTTCTATAATCTGTGATGCTAGGGGCTGAGCGAGGACGGGGAAACAGCTGATTTCCTGATGTTCCATACTCATAGGCTAGTTAGTTAGTTGTGAAATTGTCTGCTAGCCACTGACTTTACACAGGCATCAATCAGCAATCAGCGTACTACCAGTAGCCTATTACCATTGACTAAAACTATTTTTAAAGTTTATATAGTCAATGCTATTACTGAATTCGATACTAAAGTATACATATTGTGACAGATCTGTGAAATGGAGAAAAATGTAGGCCTAAGGTTAAAAAATGTGTATCAACTTGCTTGCATGAAATATAACAGGTGAAATGGAAGGTTTTAGGACAATTGGGCACAGTTCTAGCCGTTATAAATGGCTTTATAAAGTCACCATACGGCTTTTAGGAGACATGGCTTCGAAGTCTACACTACACTGTAGGCCTATGTTTTGAAATTCATGAATGCAAGTACGTCATAGTTTGATTTTTTAAATGTTTTCTTTCTCATGACAAAGACAAATAACAGGTGAAATGGGAGGTTTATGGACAGTTGGACACAGATATAGACATTAATAATGGCTTTATAAAGTCAGTAAAAAGCTTTTATGAGGATGAGGCCGTAGCCTACAATATGTTTTGAGATTTATAAATGCAATTGTCGTAGTTAGTTTTAAAAATGTCTACTTATTAATGACAAATAAATGGGGAAATGGGAGGTTTTGCACACAGTTCTAGACGTTAAAACTGGCTGTAAAAAAGTCACCCAACGGCTTTTAGGAGGATATGGACGTAGTCTACAGTGTGTTTTGAAATTCATTACTCCAATCGTCATAGTTTTATTTTTAAAATGTCTATTTTAACAACAGGTGAAATGGAGGTGGGAGTTTATGGACAATTGAGCACGGTTTTAGGTGTCAAAAATGGCTTTAGAAAGTCACCAAACGGCTTTGAAAATTCAAAATTTTCCCGGGTTAGGACCCCCGGCCCCCCCCCCTGCCAAGGTCCTACATTTGTCCCCCTCTAAGTTTTGATGCTGACGACGCCAATGATGGAATGTCTAGTTGTTGTATTGATAGTCAATAACCAATAATAACCAATCACAAAACACTATAATCTATAAAAGGTGTAACGTAAAAAGCTCACACAATGGAACACTAATAGCACCGTTCGCAATGACTGCACCAATCAGTCTCATTGGTGGAGTCATTGCGAACGGTGCTATTAGTGTTCCATTGTGTGAGCTTTTTACGTTACACCTTTTATAGATTATAGTGTTTTGTGATTGGTTATTATTTGCATGTTGTATCATGACTTGACTGCTATACAGTGTATATTTTTGACTGCTACCTTCTGTAGTGTATTCCAACTTAGGTTGGGCGTTTGTGTATTGTTAGTTGTAATGTGTTAGTTAAGTTTTTTTCACCTGAGGACGGGATCAGATTCCAGAAACCGAAACATTGTGTATTGTTTTTTTACAATCGTGATGGAAAATGTCTGCAATAAACCTTTGAATAACATTAACTCACCATCACCAACAATGAACTTCAAACAAAGAACAAAAAGAGTGTACTAACTAACAAAAGCTTACAGAAACTTTAATAGTTATGAAAATCAATAAGAAAAAAATAAAATAAAAATAAGAAATTTTTAACCACAACTAACTGTATAACACCAGAAAACTGTCTATAAGAGAAAAAAGAATTGCAGTACAGCACTAAAACCTCATTCATCCGATATTCATTTATACGCTATTTTGGTTTATCCACAAAGGTCTGCTTCAACCTAAATAAAAAACTTACTTAAAAGTAAAAATTTACATATACAAAGAATACATTAAATAAGACGCCTTCAATAACGAAACGCAACAGCATTGTGATCCTGTATTGCGGGTATTACATTGACTTTCTAAAGGTTTTTTGATCTCATCTCAAAAAAATCTCCAAGCAAAGTTAATTTTGCTCAAACCACATTTTTTTAATCTCGGAAATTTCTCGAAAATTCTAGACCCGTCCATTCCCAATTTACATTAAAAGCGTATTAGAATTCGCAACTCACAAGAGAGGACGTCGAAGCACCGCTTGTCGTCCGGCACCATCTTGATCTGACACGTGAGCAGGTTGACCTTGGTGGGGGGTTTGGTCTCGTCTCCGTGGCTGATCTCCAGGAACCCCTCCGCTTGTACGGCGCAACGTCGCTTCTGCCACACTCGCCTCATTTTGCCCTCCGACTTCTTCATGAGGTGACCTGTCCTCGTCATCCCTGCCTGTTTGTCTCCCTGCAGTTGGTGTAGAGAGTAGCCCGTGCCTCTGTCTGGCATGTGCCCACTCGTCTGAACATCACACACCAAGGTTACCAGTTAGAAGATATTTTTACAGACAAGTATCTTAAGTATGTTTCTGAATAAATACTGATTTTTCAACATTTTATGATATCTACTACATTAACCACAACTATAATCTACATCTAAATTTCCTAAGTCTACTACGGTACGTTATTTCAATACAAATATTATGTTTAACAGCCCTGCTAACTAGGGACAAGTTTACATAACTGCAAAGTGTCAAAATAACACAAATTTAAAGTTACGAAACATCAAATTCTAACAGACAAGACCTTTGACTAAATGTGTTTATTTGTTTGACAATTGAGGGAAGCACTGTTTACAAGTTAGATTACCCTCAATCATAATCATATTGTACTATCATGAAGCAATAAAAGATAACAAGTGACAACATCAGGAAGTTGTAGTATAATTTCCTTAAGTAAATAAAAACAACAATTCAACTAGGCCTACATAGTTTGTTTTGATACAACAATCAAAAAACCATAAGATACGGTTGTAATAGAATAAAGATAGGAATACAAAGAATAATTCAGGGCTTTAAAGTCTATGATTTGAGACACATTTGTTGTTGTTTTCACATTAAGAAAATAAACGTTGACAATCTTAATATCACATTAGTTATTTCTTCTTTATACTAAAATCTCAAACTCGGTCTATTCCAGCCTCCTTGGTTTCAAAAGTTGATCATCCTAACAAACGAGCTGCCACGTACGAGAGAGTAGAAAATGTGGCACAAGAAGTAAGGGGATTACTAGGACTTATGAGAAATGTAGAAGAATGTTTACGTATTTTCTAAGTGAGATTAGTCCCTTCTCAAGAGCGGATATCCCATATGTTAGGGTTGGAGGTACTCAGTCGTCTCACCTCTTTATCCAGTCCCGGAGCGCTGCGCAGCAAGAGCTGCTTCAGCTCATTGAGCTGTCTCCGTTCTTCATCTTGCTTCTGACGAACAGTCTGCAACCTCGTAGACAGGTCTGCCACATAGCTTCCAAAGTGTTCAATTGTTTTCAGCCCGTCTTGAAAATAACTGTGGAAAATAAGTAATGTTAGCAAACACCGTTGTTAACTATGAATATTTTTTTCACATGATATTTTATACTTGCTCAAACAAATATTAATTTGAATTGCTTTAAGTAGTTTAAAATCTCCATATCAAAAAAGTATTATTAGGGAAGTTTATTTGTTAAAAATCAGTTAAAATATTATCAACAGTTTAGGTGATAACAAGACAGCAGACCAAGCCTATAATTAAGCAAAGAGAGTTTCTTGATTTTACATAAATATGTCTTTGACTGTCTGTCAATTATTCAGAACGTCCCTCTCTTTGTTGATGACACTAACACAATTTTTTCAAAGGAATAAAAGTCAAACTATGATCATTAGGATAGAGTACCTAGATAAATATTAAAATATGAATATAGTAAAAAATTTACAAAATAAAATACTGCAAAGACTTAATTTTAAGGGTTTCCACATTAAAGAACCAAATAATTACCTGAACAAAATTTAACTAAAGAAACCAATTTGATAGACTTGTAAAGAGAATATAAATTGACTTACTTGGTTTGAGCGTGAAAGTACTCTATTAGATGCTGTAGCAATTCAACACTCTTTTTTGTCTTGATTTCGTTGACTTTAAGAAGATACTGTAACAGATTTTTAATTTGCTGTTACCTATATCACTCTGGTAGTTTAAAAAATTAATTACTAGAACTTGCATATAAAGACACTGTAAAAATACCTTATTTTAACAAAATATATATGCTGAACCAAATAGCGTGCTAGTTCATACCATGCTGGTGGTCATACTAGTTTTTCAAGTGCTACTTCAAAAAAACTGTGACTAAACAAAGGCTGTAAATTTTTACCCATATTTTGGTTCTTATAGACCACAGCCACAAACGGTAAAAATTGATTTGTTTTGTCTCTTTTGGTTCAACTGCAATACTCAAGACTTTCCAGTCCCGTCCCGAAAATAGGGAAGAAAATAAAAGTCCTATCCTGAACTAAAAATTCAATCCCGTCCATCAAGATTTATATGCACTTCATTTAATTAAATGCCTTCGTTCAACCTTTAGAATGCTCTACGACTATTTACCACACACCAAAACATGTTAAATCGCTACAATTTTTTACAGACAACATTCTACATTTGGTGAGAAAACTTTTACAAAATATAATGTGTGGTCTAATGTACATTTTCTAATGAACACATTTAAATGCTGTAGACATTTAAAAAATGAAATAATCAGACAGCAAATTACCTCGCTCATCTGGAGCTGAAAAAGCCGCCTCTCCTTCTCCATGTCATCAGCAATTTCAGCAGCCGACAGCTCAGTACGGATCAGTCCTGCTTCTTTGGCTTGCTGTTTCCTTTCTTTCTCAATCTTCACATACTTGGCTTCAAACTCTTTAGACGCTCTATCAAAAGGCCTTTTCAAATCCCCCTTTACACCCCTCAGATCTCCTTTGAGAAGACTGTCTACAGGAAACATCACGATGTTGTTCACGTTTTGCATCTAAAACACAAAAATCAAAAGATTAGGCATATGTACATTTTATAAACATCCATCCATTGATTGTGATGAGGACACAACCTATGTGTGTATTTTAACCTAAATATGAGTGAAGGATGAGCGTAAAATGGTGTGAGATGATCTCTGTAGCTTTGTTACTGACTGAAATGAGCTGTTTCATCAGTTAGGATAATTTATTTAAAGCCCAATGTTCAGAAAAACTGGGTCCAGTTTCGAACCATCAAAAAGCTACTAAATTTTCTCAGGAACGATCCGGCAACCTTTTGATTGTTAGGCGAGCACTTTAACCACTCGGCTACTCAGGCAGTCAGTTCAGCAATGACGATGGATTTCACAAACATTTTGTAGGTTTATAACTGGAATATTATACTAATTGATAATTATAAAAATGTAAATGGCTCTTTTCTTGAAACATACATCCAACAGAAAAATTGAAAAATACTAAATAAACCTTACCAAAAGTAGAGATTAAAAAATAAACTGTTGTACGAGTTTTATTTGTACTCACGAGTGTTTTCATGAGAGCTGAGAGCTCTTTGTGAACGACTGCGAACTTAAGAAACGCAGCTCCTATATCTGGTTCCTGGTCTTTGCTGAGAGCGTTCCCACCAAGCCTCTCCAACACACGAGCCAAGTACATCTCATTGTCCACATGTACTGCAACACAACAATCATATCAGCATCTTTGAGTTCCAACAAGTTGTAAGTACTAAGTAGAACATAGCTAGTAACATAGCCAGTACAGTTGTTTGTTTGTACTATTCAAAAATAAAATATTTAAACAAGTAAAACTTACTGGTGAAATAAACCAAAGTCATACATCTCAAGCTAAACCTACTTCAAAATTGTTGTTATAATTTATCAGAAAAAAATATGTTGGGACCTGGAAAAAGGTTTGTAGTAAATTAAATGTGTAGGGCCAAAACATAATCATTATTATATATATATATTGTATATATATTACATTTAAATAGGTAGCCTATTGTATATATATATTGTAATTGTAACTTTTTACAACTCTCCTTCCTAAAGATCCCAGTTTGAGTAATAGTTTAGTTAAGTTAAGTATTTTGGAAATCTACCTCTTGGAACAATCAGTATTTTTTTTTATGGTTTCGGATGATTGCTTGGACAGCTAATTTTTTCCCTGTAGGCTATATTGCACACATAACTGAAGAAAAAAAATCAGTTTAAAAACTGTCTATGACTAGGTGGAAAACAGGGATCGATGACAACAGGAGGATAAGGAATGACCTTGAGAGCTAAGGCTAGGCACAGCTGATAAGGGACCCATTTACTTTCAACTAATGAATAAAGCATGAGGTGATATGACCAGTGAAGACAGTGATGCGGAAATGTCTACTTCCTTGTGTAAAATATACACCAGCAAACGGTTGGGACATAACTTAAGTCTCACAAAGAAAATTTAAGCACCCAAAAGCTAATTATTCACATTTACAAAAAGATGTTGAGCAGTTCAAATTAGTTTGTTGTTTAGTACAAATTCATCTTCAAAGTAAAAATATGTTATTTAAAAAATCAGTAGGCAACCTATTATCAGACCTATTATTGCTGGAATCAGCTTACAAAAATCATGTAGGCCCCTATCCCGTTTGATAAAATTCAGGCTTTTGGCCCTCCCTGCTCTTTTTATTTGACAATTTTATGTTATTGAAAACTTCTTGTTATCTTAATTTAGAAAACTCATTTTCAAGAGACAAGATTTAAAATAAAACTTTTAGAAAATTCAAACCAAAGATTTGCTTTGTTTTACAATGGACCCTATTAGTGTAGGCTACAACAATTTATCTTTTTATTTCACATGAGCCTTTTAATTTTTTGGGCCTAAGTAGTTGTTTATAATTTAAAAAAGGAATAAACTGAGAATATGATTGAGTTTGGCCTACATTATGTAAATTATGCTGTTTTAACAATCTAACTGCATCTAGCCGTCGTCATTGTATTAACCTGTCACATATTCATTGTACCAGTAATTTAGCTAAGAATTTCTTAAATTAATAAATTGAATTGAATCTTTTGTGTCTGTTCATTGAAAAAATATAGCAAGACATATAAGTTAAATCAATTCAAAAAGTAAATTTTAAGTATAGGCCAACTTAAATAATTATTTAGTAGTTTACTCAAGCCAATTGTATTTAATCTGTCTAACTCGAACTATATTTGTAAAGTTTCAGTTCTGATTCAGTTTCAAATGTAGTAAAACTAACTATGATTGTTAAATTTGGCACCACAGTGTTGAAACCTCCAATCATTAGGCCATTTTCTAAATAATTGAGTCCATCTCTATGAGTAATTCTGAAACAATCAGTTTAAGGAGTTGTTATCTTTGGCTTATCTATTCTATGAACCAATAGTCTACTTTCTATTGTCATTTATGTGTCAAATTGACTGATAAGAAGAATCTATTTGGACTTCCAGAGTTTGTTTACTACAGAGTGTCAAGTAGATAAAACAATGTACAGTAGTACTACTTCATTATTATAGGCAGTAAACTTGTTTATAAACTTAAGGCATTTAGTAACTTCTTTCACTGATTAACTGACTAGGTTATAAAGTAAGATTAGATTTTACCAATTAGTGTTATTGTGGGGCTATAATAGTTTTAGCTTTACTATTTAAAAAAATCTTTAAGTTTAGTTATGTAAGTTTTTAATTTTTTTTGCTCTCAATCTTTCAACATTATTTAAATTTATTAAATGAATGTATGACTTTGTCAAGATTTTAAATCTGATTTTAAGAACAAATTTAATTTAAAGCCAACAACGAATTTGTGTTAAGTTAGACAACATTCTTAGATAGCCTATGTTTTTTAATCAATAGGCCAACTACCTTTGAATTTTGTTTTTAATAAACATAGACCCCACTTCACAAATAGGTCTAGGCTACATTTATTTTTTAAGTTTTGGAATTCTCATTTGAATTAATAATCTATCAGCGCAAGTTCTTAGAAATCAACTACGAACACTTAAGTAAATAAATACAGTATATTTAAATAGGCTACTTACACATTATGATGATACATTATTACACAATAACTGTAAAATACAAAATAAGCCTGATAACATAGGTAGGGTAGCTTTAAATTATGAAGTTAATTAAATTTAATTTTTACACCTTCTTGATACCTATTCCGAGAAGTAAGTTAGGCTAATTTTGTCATGAAATTACAATAATTATTAATTTAGTCTCATGAAAGTCCTGTTGGTTTGTTAAAAACTATTATCAAGAATCTATAAACACCCCAACGATAAAAGCTTAACATGGAATTATTTTGCTTAGTTATAATACTTACAATTTCCTGAATAATGTATTGCCTTTACAGCCTTTTTCATTTTTATTAAACATTCTCGGTCCAAATCAAGAGTCTGAAAGAAACATAACATAATTAGTCTTGAGTTTTGAAACCATGATAGCTTAGGGCCTACACAATCGACCTTAATATCTGGGCAATCTCCAAACTCTTAACTCTTTATTACTTTGCCAAAAACCATTAAAAACATATTTTGGAGTTGTTCAATTATTTTTTTATTAGTTCAAAGAGACCAAATAAGCGCCAATTAAGTTATTCCTAGACTACTTACCGCCCACAATAAGATACAACTAACTAATCCCAAGAGTTTTTGTCTCAAGTTTTGTTAAATATTGAAGTTGTGTTACCTATATTTAAAAGTAAGTTGAACATTATGTCAAATTTATACTGCCAAACAATGGGTAGGCTTACCCTAAGTTATTATTGATCTAGTGAAGTTAGGTGAAAAGAATTAAATAGACTTCCAGCCGTGCTGTGGTTACCATCTAGATTCTGGCGCACACCGCTGGGAGCGCCGTGTAGTTACGTAGCGCGTACCGTAGGCTGTAAATACATGAACCTACATGTAACTACCACAGAACCTATGGTAACCGCAGCACAGCTGACAGACTATTTTTGTCTATGATATAACTTATAGGTAGGCCTACCATTGTTTTTAACGCAAATTTAAATATTACTAGGCCTACGTGATATCGCTATTCAAATAGGCATACTAAGTTAGTATGAATTTTTCTATTACACTTACCATAACAGTGAATACCTAAAATACATGCGCAAGCTAAAAAGAGGGATACGGTCTTTAAAAGTAATTTATTCAGCTTAACCCACTGTTTCAATCATAAAGTCTGGAGATACCGTCAGTAACTTAACATAGGTAGGCCTACGCCTTACAGGTAAATTGATAGCTTGTAGGGTTACATTAACTGGGTCGCCAGAATTTTAACCCCCTGGAATTTTACCCCCTGCCCTGGGCAAAGCTGACCCACTATGACGTAGTAACCTGAGTGGCCAAAAGTTTGTTCGCGGCCGGAATTTTACCCCAGCGGATTTGGAAGTCTAATGAAAATAGTCAGAGCGTGATTAATTAGATTAGCGATAAAAACCAGAATTTTACTCCCTGTCTATATAACTAGCGTATAGACAACTGAAGATGTACGGGCCAGATTTTTAACCCCGGAATTTTTACCCCGGAATTCCACCCCTGGATTTTTACCCCCTGGCCGATTTTAGAAATTGAACAATTGATTTTCTTATTTCTGTTTTTAATTAATTGTAAACATTTCATTATTTAGTAGCCTAGGCTATCTTTATTTAGGCAACCTCAACTAAGTAAACAGAATTCGCTGTTTTATTTTGATCATATTAACAACAGTTGGCTTCAAAGATTGAATCCTGATACAGGAATCTCAAAATTAAAATTTAAAACCTGTTCGTTTAGTTAATGTTACAAATAAATTAAGATAGGCTACTTAATAATCAAATGTTTACTATTAAATTAAAACAGAATGAAGATAAGTAATCATTCTCACTAATTTATATATCTGGCCAGGGGGTAAAATTGGGGGGGTAAATTCCGGGGGGTAAAATTCCGGGAGTAAAAATCCGGGCCGTACATTCTAGGTTTTTATAATTTGATGTGTTCTGATTAAATTCACAACTGTGAAATTATATGTTTAATTCCGCGTTTAATCCATCGAGCTGATGTCGCGAAACTGAAAAGTTCGCGGCCGGAATTTTACCCCCTGGTTTGTGACATCACGTTTGCCCAGGGGGTAAAATTCCAGGAGGTTAAAAATCCGCTACCCCCATTAACCTAAACTTTACCTTTGTACCAAGAATCTATCTTAACCTAGGCTAGGCTAACTTCAAAATGCTGAATTAATGTAACGAATCAGTCTAAAAAAAACCTCCCTTACATACCCAAATAAAAACCAACTGAATCTTATTCCGAAATGAGCTCTATCAGATTAATTTTGATCTAAGTTAGCCTATGTTACCTATTCTTTGGTTAGACGTCTATATTTTTTTTAGACTGTTGCATTAACTTTTTTTTTATTTTAAAGAGGTTGGCCGCCTTTTTTAACCTTGCATTTGCCCGTCCACATAGACTACAGATCTGTGCGTGGAACGTATCCAGTAAAGCAAGGGGTGAGCCAGTACAGTACAAAGGTGAACTGTACTGATAAAAGTTTGTGGGAGTGACCAGGATCCGAACCCACGACACTACTGCCCTGGGCTTGAAGTCCGCGACGCTACCAACTGAGCCACCGACTCACCAATGAGTCGGGTCACAACAACTAATTTGATGGATCCCACCCTCCACATCTCTTTAGCTTTTGTCAGTTGTTTACCCACTGTTTAGGATAGCCTACTGTAATGGAAAAAGTTGTGGGTACTTAGGCTGTTTGAACAGTTGCCAATAAGTCAATAAGTCATTAATTTAACCAAAATAACATATAGGCTACATGCATTGGTCATGTCATTTAACAAAACGTTTAAGCCTCACAAACCTTTTTGATCTTAGTCATTTTACAACTTTATTCAAATCGCCTTAAAGCACACATTTTCCTTTCGTGTATAAGTTACCCTCTATCGGCACTACTATAACAAACTAAGCGAGCTGGCGTAGTGGTTAGAGCGCGGGACTTCAGTCCCTGAGGTCCCGGGTTCAATCCCCGCCAAGTCACCAATGGATTTTATCTAAGTGATAATGCCGCAACCCTAGCGTCCTTAGGACAAAAAAAAAAAAAAAAAAAAAAACTATAACAAACTAACGTACCGGGCAATATACCTACATAGAGGCTTTAGAAGTTATAAGTAGGGTTTATAACTTAAGTTACCCTACTGAAAGCCTGGCTAGCCTCTTAAAGGAGTTTTATGTTACCGTGAGTCAACTCATAAAAAAGGGTGCGCCTACCAACCCTAGGATTGTACGATAACCTACCTCCTGGAATTAGGCTACCCATGCTTAGATTAACCCTCCAAGTGTCCATAGTAATGGTATTAATGTCGGCCCATTTATTGCGCAATCGCAGGGTTTTATTAAAATGTATCTTAGAAACTTAAAAACACGAAGTAGGCCTAGGCCTATACTGTTTTATCATTTTGTTTAGAAAATTATGGGCTTCAATCTAATATATAAAACATTATTTACAAAAAAAATTTTCTACAATTTTTGTGGGGTTACGGTAACATTTCTCAAAAATTATAAAATAGGCTTAGTAAAAAAATTATACTTAAGTATGTTTGCGCTCAATAAATTTTTATCCTACTAATATTATAGGCTAAATGAGAAAGTTTGGATGTATGGATGTATGTTTGTGACAAGTGAACGCGAAAAATACTGGTCGGATTGGGCTGAAATTTGGCATGATGATAGCTCACATTCCCGATTAACATATAGGCATATTCTTATTTCAAAAATCCTTTCGGGCTCCGCCCCAGTGGCTCTGGAGTTTCCCATGTTAACCTTATGAGAAATGGAATTATTGAATCTTAACAGCTGTTTCAATTAAACAAGTTGGTTCTGTTCTATGATGTTCAATAGCATTAAAGTTACAAGGATTACCAACAGGGTGCAGCACTATTATTTCTTTTACATTTATGACAACAGCTAATTTGCAACCAAAAGGTGAGTGAGCGTAGCGAACAAACTTCAACCTGGAGGCGAGTTAGCGGAGCGAACGAGCTAACCTGAAGGCAAGTGAGCGCAGCGAACGAGCTCCAACCTAAAGGTAAGTAAGCGTAGCGAACAAACTTCAACCAGGGACGTGATTGAGCCATGCGAACGAGATAATCTTGAAAATTAAGAAGTTAAACGGGGCAAAGCCCGCGGGTTACAGCTAGTAATTTATAATCCTACAAATATTTTAAAATAACTACTTTGTTCTAAATTTTATGAGGATTCCAAAAATATAATAATATAAGGAAAAGGTTTGCAAATAAGTAAATAAGTTATGGGTGAAAAACAGATATTTCGTACATTTAGCGTTAGCTAAGAATGCATAGCCTAACCATAGCTAGAAATCTGGCTGATAATTTACATCAATATCACTAGGCCTACCTACTTCTTCAGGATCATCAACCAGCCCTTCAAAATCACCTAAATCTTCTTATAATGCACGTAGGCCTATATCACTACTTTTTATTTTTAACACTAAAACAATGATAAACGTAATAAAACACATCAGTCATCAGTGCAAGGTTAACCAAGTTGTTTACAAATACGCACGTCATCTGTCTGCTACAATATTTTCGGAACTAAAATGAAAAGCGTCTAAAAACAGACATCAGGAGAAAGCTCAGAATCTGCTGAAAACAACGATACCAATCTCGATCCAATTCAATCTGATTTAGTCAGTCCCAGAGCCTTCGCCGTAACGATGTTTGTGTGTCGCCAAAGCGACGCATAATAAGTTACCACGGCGGGTGTGTTGTGCGTCGATTACGAGACGCTTAACACTCGGAGGGTTAATATGATGTGGATAAGGGTAAAAACACAGTGGAGCAGGGCAGGTAGCTGGTAGCCTAGCAGGTCGCTTACTCGCTTACTGCTATGTAGAATTAAAGCACGCGTTGTTATGGGTACGCACACAGTCGCGCCTAGCAGGTAGCCGAGATGGTAGCAGTAAGCTAGGCGGCAAGCTAGAAGAATTGCCAAGTCGATTGTTTGGGAGCTGCAAGCGGGGATGGCTCGACTGGGGCATGCGCAAATAGCAGAACTTGACAGCCACGTGTTCTCGAGTTCGCTAGTTCCACGTCGGATCTTTCACTGCGCATTCTCTGTATACGGAGTGTTGTTTGTTTTAATCGATTTATTTAGTTGTTGTTTTGTTTACAAGAAATAAAATAATGGACGTAGAAAAATTAATATCAGAGGTTATTATCCGTGTGCCATTGTGGAAACAAGTCCACCCGGACCACCACAAACGTCACGTACTCGACGATCTGTAGAATGAAATAGCGAATGAACTAGGATTCAATCAAAAGTTTATCCTGTACCACTAATAATATAAGTGATAATATTAGTATCGGCGGCTGACAAGCGACTGTACTGAGCGCCACTGTGTGTATGTCCCAGCTACCATCCAGGTAACCAGCGGTTAAGCGAGTAAGCGACCAGCCAGGCTACCAGCTACCTGCCCTGCTCCACTGTGTTTTTACCCTAAGGCTCTACACTAGGATTGTACGATAACCTACCTACTGGAATTACCCATGCTTAGATTAATTAGTGGATAAGGCTATAAAAAAAAGCTGGGCTGCACTTTTGTTTATGTCCTACATTTACTCACATAGGCTATCTTACTGCAGTTTGGCTAAGGTTAGGTTTATTTAGTTTAACTAACAGTTTTATTTTATAATCAGTATAATCACAGAATATAAGGTTCTATTTTCATTGGTATAATGTATAGGCCTAATCGTAAATGTAGGACGTAAACTAAAGTGCAACCAAAGGCTTTGGTGGAGTAACAATATTGTGTTTGGCTCTCTGGGTCAAAAAGGGTTTTAAGTGACTCTTTAATAATCTAATAACTAACTTACCTCTTCTAGTGTAGTGATGGTTTGTCTACATTGTCCCATTCGTGAGACAAACGTAGATGTCGTAGGGGAGTTGTAGTCCTCCCTTGTTTCTTCGATAAATTCATTTACTCCTATCAGTCCAGGCATTATGGTTGATGTCTAGATCACAACTCGCACACAAACAACAAAATATTATTCTTAGAACATAGGTAAGTTTACACCAATCACAATTAAATCACACCCATTTTCGATAGAAAGTGGACTTTTCCCTTAATTGAGCCATTTACAACTGGTTCACCCAAAAACAATCTTCTCCGCAGATGCCATAATGGACCTTCACACTTGAATCTGATCTGCTGCTGAAGCTAGCTGAGCTGAAGCAAGCAAACTAATGCCCTCTAATGTTCCTGTTTCTGATTCTCTGCTTCTGCTGCTCTAGGTGGCAGTGTTTGTGTCTGTCATAATAAAATCAAAGACGACCAAGTAAACATCCGTTAGGCAATGGGTAAGTCAAAACGAATCAGAATCAGGAACATTTAAAGCTACATACGTATAAAGCTACATAAAATGAGGTTACTAACCTGTCGTCAATCAGTCCTCTATTTATTTATTTATTTATATTCATTTATTTATTTATTTTTACGGCAAACGCCATTTTTTACAATTGTTTTACGTAGTAATACATGCGACAAGATGCTTACTACATGCTAATAATGTTGTACAGATATATCAGTGATACATGCGAAGATTAAGCCCCCCACACACTACCAGACCAGACCTCCAGACCAGACCGTCTGGTCTGGCGTCTGGCACTTGTCTTATCGTGTGTGGGACTGTCTGCAGACCGATTTTCTCGGACCAGACTGTCTGCGTGTCTGATGGTTGAACCCTCAGACCACAGACGGTCTGAGGTTCCCCCACCACTATTTTTGTCTCGTCTGTGAGTGTGTAGCGCTGTCTGTCAGACGGCCGACCATCGTGACAGTCTTCATCCATTTGTTGGAGTTCTCACCACGGTCTCTCAATTACGAATGTTAGACCGTCTGGTCTGGGAGTGTGTAGAGCCGTCCAAGACGGTCTGGTTGCAGCCAGACGGTCTGGTCTGGAGGTCTGGTCTGGTAGTGTGTGGGGGGCTTACAATGAAAAGATGAAAAACATGTTCAATGAAAATGACATGCAGTTATGATAACTATTGAAGAGTGAAAGTTGAATCATCTAGGTGATCATAATAATTAAGTAACATGCTCAGTGAATAACAGACTATAACTAAGGTAACAATAACAAATAAAAAATATGACATGCTTGGCGATAGATAATCTATAACTAGTTAACAATAACAATTGGCAACAATACTGACAGTGGTGATAGATGCAATACGGAAACGAGTAATAGTGATAACAATAACAGACTAGAAATAGATAACAGTGATAATGAATGAAGTAGGCAACAGTGATAAAATTTATAAAAAAGATAACAAAAGATAGACTCTGATGCAAACAGCAGATAAATAGAAATAACCCTCCGCCCCACAATGTGGTTGTGACCCTTTAAAGGCGCCACCAATAACAAAACACAACACCGTTTCATAACCAGAACACTGTAGCGAAGTCACTTTAGTAGAGTAGCCTCCGGACGTCTCGCTTGAATGAAGCTGGTGATGGCCCGAAGAAGTCGAGACGAGAAGACACATCTCCGCTGGTTCTCAGGAGTCTAGAGATACCGTGGTTACGAGCATAGTTAGTCGGCTGGTATCTCCTTGTGAAGACTGCTCTTGATCGAGTGCCCCTGGGAATGGTGAGGTCGATATGTCGTTTAATAACTCAGGACAATCAATGATTCCATTTACCAGTTTATACAAGAAGATGATGTCACAGACCTTATTATACAGGCTTATTGTCTTCGATGACTATAGTTTCGGGGTTATAACCCCATTTTCAAATCTTCTCTTCATATGTATAAAATAATATAAAGCTACCTTCAATTCAAACTATCCATATTAGCATTATGTCTTATCTATGATATTAGCACAGCAAAAATATTACCATAGATAAAACCACAGACAAGAGAAACAAAGTTGACTTTTATTTCCTTAGTCAATGATAAAACGTTAGTCTATGATATTACATTACAGGGTGTCTCAGACCACCCAGCCGGCTTCTATAACTCCAACATGAAAGCAAATGGAAACCTAATTGCAACTGGAACCCCCTATTTTGACCCTAAAAAATCAACTAAATTATTTTCAAACCCAAAAAAAATCAAAGGGCAGATTTGGGGGGGGGGGTGGTTTTTGGGAAATTTTCAAATGTAAAGGGGGGTCGTGCGGTGTCGTGTTATACCTCATTTAAAGGTCCTTGAGTCCTGAGTATTTTAGTGGAAAAAGCTTTAAACTATTTTCATCCCGATTTACACGGTGTTCAAAAACGTACAAAAAATAGACCTTTGAATTTGACCTTTTGACTGCAAAGAGGTGTCCGTGGGGGATTAATGTATTTTAATGTTTTATTAAATGGTATTTAAAGTGTTTGCTGTTGTAAATGTACACGTCTACGTTTAGAGAAAAATGTAGCATACTATAAAAAAAGGTAGTCTTTAAGGAGAAATTCCAGATTTTTTCCATAATTCCCTGACTTTTCCAGGTTTTCACTGACCATACTAAACCCTTGTAAAATAACTACAGCTGTTTCGTTCTGCTAAGCGAGCACATTATCAGTTGGAAGAACGTTAAATTACAGTTTTCTCATCCGTGAATGAGGTCTTCAGCACATTTAGGACTCATACAACACGAAACACACACAAAACGACATTTAAGTATTTACAATGAAAAACTAGGCCAAGTAGTCCGAACACAATAGGTGCATAACCGGTAGATGATGAGTCATGACTGACCCGTTTTGGGAGTTGGGAGTGTTGGGACCCGACAGTGGGACTCATCATCCTACCGGTTACGCACCTCGTGTTCGGACTACTTGGCCAATTTTTCATTGTAAATACTGTACTTAAATGTCGTTTCAAGTTATGTGTCCTGAATGTGCTGATCGACCTCATTCACGGATGAGAAATCTGTAATTTAACGTTCTTCCAACCTTATGTGCTCGCTTAGCAGCACGAAACAGCTGTAGTTATTTTATAACACAAGGATCAATTGACGCAACAGGTAAATTAAACCTTTTATACAGTATATTTTACTCTTGATAAGAATGACACAACATATATGTGACTGCGTCGAGGGTCGATCTGAACACGAACATAAGATGAAGATCGATAGGAAGATAAGATATGTTTTCCTCCGAAATCGAAAAGCGCCTGTTCAGAAACAAACGTCCAAAAACTTTTATTTGTTAAAAACAGGTTGGCGGCCTCTTTTAACCTTGCATTTGCCCTTCCACAAAGACTAACTGCCCATGCGTGGAACGTATCTAGCAAAGCAAGGGGTGAGCCGATACAGTAAGAAGGTGAACTGTACTGGTATGTTTGCAGCAACCCTCATATTCGTGTCCAGCGACCCAAAAAACATATAGAAAAGTGATGATTAGGACTGTACCTAAACTTTCTGCTAACTTTCCTAATATGCCTAGACTATAAATTGAATTTGTCGAACATTTGTGAAAAATCCTGAAAAATGCTACAATAGTCTGGGTTACGGCCGACTAGAGCATTGAATGATACCCTCAAATCCATTCACCATTGGGGATTTCCATGACTTTTTGCCTATTTCCATGACTTTCAATGACCAGAATTTTTTCCATGACTTTCCATGACTATCCCTGACTTTCCAGAATGTGGACACCCTGTAGATATACTTGCTGGACTATCTAGTTCAACTTCAATTTATAATTTTAGTTATATAATTTTTACCTTTAATGACTATCAATTTGGTCACATACAAAAAAGTGAACAAAATTGGAAGATTATACTTGGGGAGGATATAAAATAGCATACAAATGAGCTTGATACAAAACAATATATTTCTCATTGATTGGCAAGATACTGGATGTACATAAATTATTTTATTAATAAAACACAATAAACAAAATTACAAAAGTTGACTCAAGTTTTTACAACTTTTGATCTGCCTTGGTAACCTAACATTTCATAAGATAACATATAATTTGTACTATGCAATAACACTGATTTCTTTATACAGAAAGTGTTATAGTGGTTTGAGAGGGATTCATTTTTGTATATTGCACAACTGAGATTGGTTGTTAAAGTTTTTAACTAGGCTACACTTATCCCACAACTCAACTCCATTCAATCAGTCTAAGAATACCACAACTTAGTGATAAATATTTGAATTTTAATATAACAAATTTAGAGCATCTCTATGTGTAGCATTTGTTATGTTCTAAAGAGTGCTAACTCTCAATTTTTTTGTTATTACAAATTGCCACTGGAGTGTAAAAGTCAATACCAGAATTATTTTTTACACACATCAAAATATTGTTACTTCAATTCAAACTTAATTTTACCAAATGTCACACTCAAAAGTAAAACACAAATGAAACATGTTAGCAAAAATCAATATAACAAAGATGCCCATCCATAGTGGGTACGAAAGTGGACTTAACTGTGATAAGATATCAAATCTTTTGAACTTTAAAAAAATCTTTAGTGATAAGTACAAAATGTATATAATACAAAAACATTAGATGAAGTTTTCAAAATATAACACTATATACGGCTACTTTTACTGCATTTTAAAAATAAAACTTGAAATTATAATGAGGTTTCATTAGTTGGTTGATCATTCATCCTAAAGAATATTCCAAACCATCAATAACCAATATAATATTCTGCTAAAAAAACACGCAATACATTTTTTATTCTGCTCAATTAAAACACTTATTAAAGTGGTTTTACAAGCAATTGAGAGTTAAGCACCATAATAACGTAAGAAAATATAAACCAATGGGCAAGAGTAGGTTTTTAGCACAGGAAAAATGTTGTAAAACAGTAAAAAAATGTATTACAAAAGTTTGATTGACTTTTTGATCAAACATTTCACATTTGATTCTGTTGCCATTTGTTAACCACACGCTTCAGATATTTCTGGGATTTGATATTTTCCTATTGCAATAGTAGTCAAAATGTACAAAGCAACATACTCTAGTTTTCGGACCTCAAACCCAAATCAGAAAGATCTAAAGAATTTGAGTGCAAGTTACCGATGTGACATGAGAACTCTATAGGACAAGTAACAATGTTATTGGTGTTCTACCATCCATTCACGACTACTGTTAATTTGCGCCTTACATTAACTTTCTAACGCTACGTGGTGTTCATAGTACTTAGTAATTAACATTGATTTTAATCTAGTTTGAATCCATTTCCACATAAAACGCTATCATTACATAACAAAAATTCTGACGTAATTAATAGTAATAGTAATAGTAACCATAAAAATAGGGAGTACACCCATTGTGCACTGAAAATATACGTAAACTTTCTTTACAAAATTTCTATACTATAAAAGAGATGTACACAAACGTAGAATCAGACTTTGAAAATTCAACTAATAATGCAAAGACACAGAAAACATTACCTCGGGACTATCTACAACTCGATTAATCTATACAATGTGGGTTTTAGTGTCAAATTAAGTACATCATTTACAAAAGGAATGGAAATTATAAATTAAAGACATCAGTCTAAGGTTAAACACCGAGCAGGATGTATTTACACAATTATGTTGATTTCAGTGTAGAGGTACAGATGAATTGAGGTTTGTTGTAGGACTTACTTAAAAGTAATATAAAATTGTTTTAATTAGGATAAAAACATCTTTTATATATTAATTTGAGTATTCCAGCTTTTGTTATTACTGATTTTTATCATTATGATATTGAAAAACTTGAATAATTTTAAATATTCCACGATTAGATTCATACGATGTTGACACCCGACCTAACAAGCTTTTAATTTTGTGCTATCCACTTCCTTCATCTACTTATTCACTTCAAAATCCTAAAAAAATTAAATATTTCCTGAAACCATTTGGCCACACTACAAAATATGTATGTTTAGGCCTATACCGTTTCATTCCACTTCTCACAAGAGCTCTTCACCTAAAATAATTCTGGCTGTAATGTTCATGTATAATTGCCATGTAAATTTTTCCCAGCCAGTTTATACTTAACAGGATCGGTAAACTGTCTGTAAACTCTTACTGTTTGTGTTAATACTAAGTAGAAAGTAATAATAGATGACAGAAATCAATATTAGACCAAGAAGTTTGCACCCAAGGAAACGAGCTCTTATTAGGTATGGTAAAAAAACACACATTGAAAAAGATTTAACACATATCATACAAGTATGGTATGATTTTATTAGTATCAATATGGAAAAAAACCAAAAGTTTGACATTAAAAACTTGTCATGTTTTGAACTATTTTGGTTTTTGTCAACTTCATTAATAAGCCTGGTAAAATCATTTTACAAGATTGCTTACCATTAGTTTTAAAACAAGATTCTACTAATTTATTTATTATTTTAAATAATTTACTGATTCATAGCGGTTTATATTTTTCGGTAGTTATCTTAAAATTTATTTCATTGGATATCATGTTTAAGGAACATTCTGAGCGTAGCCTATATTAATATGCGCCATACTATAAGTATACAGGGTTAGGCAAAAGTCTGGAACCCCCCAGTTAACTTTTTAATGTATTGCAGTAGGAAAACCAAACTCAGCACATATTTACAACATAAGAAATTGCACTTTTTTCATCTAAGTTACAACTTTGCCCCTGCCCCCAAAATGGGGTATTTTGGGGACAGCCCCAAATTTTCAAATGTAAACACCTATCATGTGACCTCTCATTTTAAAGGGTTTATCAAGAGAAATTGAATGGCGCAAACCAGAGGTCAATATCGCACCCCTAATCAAAATGACAGCCATTTTAATTTACGATGAGCAAACAAGATAAAGTCTGGACAATCCCAGTTAACTTTATAACATGTGGCAGTGGGAAAACCAAACTCGGCACATGTTTACAACATAAAAAATTTACTTTTTCATTAAAGTTAGAACTTGTACCCGGCCTCCAAAATGGGGTATTTTGGGGGCAGCCCGAAATTTTCAAGTGTAAACACCTATCATGTGACCCATCATTTTAAAGGGTTTCTCAAGGCAAATTAAATGGCACAAACTCGTGGTCAATATCTCAAACCTAATCAAAATGGCAGTCATTTTCAAATATCCCCTATTAACTTTTTAACAGGTTATAGCAGAAAAACTAAACTCAGCATACCTTTATAAAAAAAGAGAATTCACCTTTTGGTTAGTATTAAAATATTAAATTTTTTAAGTTAACTGGGGGTGTTGAGACTTTATCTTGCTTGCTCATCTTAAATAATTAAAATGGCTGCCATTTTGATTAGGGGTGTGATATTCACCTCTGGTTTGCGCCATTCAATTTCGCTTGATAAACCCTTTAAAATGAGGGGTCACATGATTGGTGTTTACATTTGAAAATTTGGGGCTGCCCCCAAAATGGGGTATTTTGGGGGCTAGGGCAAAGTTGTAACTTTGATGGAAAAGTGCAATTTCTTATGTTGTAAATATGTGCCGAGTTTGGTTTTCCTACTGCAACGCGTTAAAAAGTTAACTGGGGGGTTCCAGACTTTTGCCTAACCCTGTAGTATTCTTACAACAGTAAATTTACATCTTACGTTTTATTATGCCATTCAACTTGAATTATTTTTTAATTTTGAAAGAGGATGGAAAATAAACCAGTTGACATCCATAATAGAAGATACTTCCAGGTAAATAAGCAAGCTAACCAAATAAACTTAACTAGAAAATAAATGTCACATTGAACTAAAACAAAAGGAAACAAAACAGTACAAAACAATAACTATGTAAATTTTACATATAAAAATATTAATTACAAAACATATTTTAGAATATACATAATACAACGTCTAAGATAAATAATATTTAACTTGTGTCAAACTGCCAAAATCAATACATCATATTTACACACTTAACAGTCTACGAGTTTTATTATTATAAGCGTCATCAGTTTTCAATCAGTTACAAAATACATACGTGTCCGTATGTACGCAGACATTTACGTCACGTGAGGCAAGAACCAAGGTAACTAGACAGTCAGAGGTAACGGAAACATCCCAACGATTCCATCGAGTCACACCCTGTAAGACTCGCTACTATTGCGCTACGCTAACAAAGGAGAATTTAACTTTAAAAAGTCAAATAGCCTTTGTGAAACGTAATAGCATTTGATAAATGAAGTATCCACATGACGTAATGCGGTGGTGCGGAGGGCGCTGCTGCGGCCCGGGGGTTCTACTCTCATACCGCAGCAGAGTAGGTTCACTCACCTGACTGGTCTGGCAGAGATCGCTCAAACAATGCCAGAGCTCTGTGTATAAACTCATACTGCTCTGCTGTCTGCACCATGCCACCACTGGAACAAGGAAAACACAACCATCAAGTAACAACTGCTTTAAGTATAATCATAAGGTAATAGTTTCCTCACATCACCAGTTTTTACAACAAAATTGAACTAATTATTTTTTCCACTTTCCTGTACGGAGAAAGTATTGCGTCAATATTTTCGAGTTGAGTTTTGGGTCCCCCTATATTTGGGTTTTTGAGGGATGTCTGTTTCGCCTCTTTCAGAGGCTTCTTCAAAAGTAGGTCAAGATGGCAGTTACAAAAACAACAGTTTAAAATAGGATGTCACAGTCTGAATTCAAAATATCTGACAGGTTGTCCAACTGACATAACACAAAGCACTAAATACAGGCGCATTGCAATATTGAATTTACATATAATATGTATATATTGAAAAGCAAATTAGTTTTGTCCATGAAAATAAATACATAAGAGTTAGCTGTGACGTAGAGGATAAAAGGTTTTTATCAATGGCATTAACAACAACAGAATATATGATAAATTACAATCAACCTGCAAACCTAAACCTTTATGTTTGAGGTATTTAACAATAAGGTATTTAACCTCTAGAATAAACCTAAACCGTTAGAATTAACAGTTTCAGATTTTTCTTAAATCATTCATAATGAAAGAGAGAGTAAAAATGTAGTATCTATTTATCACCGGAATCGACTTATTGTAATAAGTTATTTAACATATTAAAAATAACAAATCAAGCAAATGATGAAGTATACAATTTGCATAAATCTAACTCTAGACTAAAAAGCCTTAAAAGCTCACCGGTCATATCTCATCCGGCAGACGATTCCCAGTATATCAACATTGTTTTCACCCAGCAGCTGGTTGACACCCACACAGATAGCTATGAAGCAGCCTGTCCGTCCGATGCCAGCACTGCAGTGGACTATGACAGGACCAGCGGCCGGGCCCCTCGCAGCAGGCACCTCGTTCCACAGGAAACTCACCGAGCCTTCACGCGACCGCCTGCTCAACAGCGGACTCTTGTCAAACCAATCTCTTGGTGTTCGTATGTGCGACTCTTCGTCTTTCTCAAACCACCGAGGACTATCCTCCGAGCTCTGCGCCCAGCCGGAGCTGCCTTGCGAGCTGCGTGTCCACTGCTTGCTGCTGTCTGAGCTCCTAGGCCAGCGTTTGCTATCACTAGAGCTGTGAGTCACTGGGCTCTCTATTGAAGACTGAGTCCTGTTTGGACTTTTTTCTGAAAAGTTAGGGCTCATTATATCTAACCCTCCCCAGCTAAGACTGTCAACAGACAGCTTAGATGTGCTTTTGTCAAAACTCTGAGTAAGATTAGGACTCGCTTCCGAAGCCCAATTGGGACTTGACGTACAACCGATTCCTTTGAATTTTTTCTCAAAGCTTTCAGGTAAATTTTCACTGATATCCGAAGACTTTTTTCTCTCTTCGGAGGAAGTCAGTTCATCTGTAGATATCGTATTAGTGTCTTGCCAGATTGTCAGTTTTTCAAAATCGAAAATCTCCCCAGGGGCGGATTTTTTTTCTTGACTCGAATCCGACTTCAAGGATCCACTCGAAGGTGCTTCCACCGATCTCGAACGTATGTTTTCTAACTGAACCCGGGACTGAATGGGACTCTTTTGTGGAAGAGACCCTACTTGAAAAACATCGTCATTAGAATACAACGACCTGTCATAAAATGTAGGACTGTTCAATTTATCTGCAGGTAAAACCGGTACAATCTTATAAGCGGCTTCATCTACTTCCTTAAAAATTTCCAGATTAAGAGCTTCAACAGTAGGCTTCAATGATATCTGGACAGGCTCAGTTACATCTTCTTGAGCCAAAAGAATAAGATTTTCATCACCACTCTTAGGACTACTTCGCAATTCTTTCTCAGGTTCATCTTCTTTAAATTCCAGCCGGCCAAAGTTGAGAACAGGACTGGTTTCCTTTAAGGACTGAGGACTTGCTGCTTCTGGACAGGGTGAAAGCAAATCAGTTTCATGCTTTGTACCATCAGACTTGACAGGTTTAGGCGAGTGTGGCCAGGAAGAGGTACTTCCTCTCTGAGTGTCTCTGAACCTGTACGACTCAACATCCTTAGCCAGGCAGAGCAGAGAGTGAGCATTGGCAGGAGTTTTGTGGTCAGGCCACGAGTCAAACCAGAAATGTGTTACTCGTTGGGTTTCGTCTTCTTTCTGTAACAAAATTAAACTTTCAAGAATAAAAATAATATAGTACTTCAACACTTATCACATTTAAAAAGCTAACATATTTAATGCAAGCTGCTTTTAAAAACTTTGTAAAATTTAGTTGCATAAGGCACAAGAAATTAATACAAGCAACATTTTGTTTTAGAAAACAGAAGATCTATCCTTGCATTGAAACTTTTAATTGAAAATTACTAATATAGAAAGGCTATATAATATAGAATGTAGAAAGGCCTAAACCTTTTTACTAAAAAAAGATTAAGGGATGTTTCCATTTTTTCACATATTAAAACCTCAAGATTTGCCAAAAAAACACAATTACCAAGATTAATTACAACTACATTGGATAAATGTTATCAATACAATAAACATACATCCTAAAGACATTTGCCATAAGTCAATAATAACCTGCATAATAAAATGACGGATGACATATCCATCCTTGACAATGATGGAGGACACGGTGACAGATATGTCGCCATAGGTCTCCGTTGCGCCGGGGTCGATGGGGAAGTACAGCTCGCACTTGGAGCGTGACTTCTCCATCAACTTGGTGATCATCACAATGACGGGAGAGTGTTCGCTCCACACCATCCGCCAGAAGTCAACCACCGTGTTGGTCAACGGACCTTGAGTGGCTATGAATGCCTTCTCCTCCCCATCGTAACCCTGCAAAACACATCTTACAATCACCAGCTGAACAATCGGTTTAGGGACAACTTTCAGCTTCTTAATCATTTTTAATTCATTGAAGGGAAAAGTAAATTTCATTACTACGGTTAAAGCCGATTAGGTAAGCCTAAGTTACACAGTGGCTCATCGTTTGAAACACTTGAAACTCCTTCACTCAACATCTCATTATGAAAAGCTGGGTTACTCTTAGTCCCATCTGATTTGCTATTAAGTCAAGGACAGGAAAAGCAATTTTGACACTTTTAGATAAGATTATTTTGCAGTTTTTTTAGGTAATGCTGATAAATTTATAGGTTTAAATTAAAATAAAATAGTGTATCTTTTGTTATGAAAACCCTACACAATTGAAGTACCATACACAACCTACCCTAATGTAATTGGCGTTGATGTACCCAGAGAGAGGATCACTGGGTGGTTCCAATGGTAGATGAACTCTTGTGTTCTCATTGGGTATGATTGTCCGATACCTATAAAAATTGATGAAATTTGTTTTAAAAACCAACTTGAGTGTGTTTTCAGGGACGGATTTAATTAAATACTTTCAATCCCGGGATATAAATCTCTGAAATGTTTTTGACAAAAGATCACTTTAAATCTGAAAACCCATCATTTTCAAAACTTGTAATCATTAAACTAAACCAGAATGTTTTACATCGTGTGCGAAATTTAAATAAAATGCATCTTAGCAGTCTAGTAACAAAATTAAGGAATAAAAAGTCCTGGCCCAATACAGGAAAATGGAGAATGGAGAAACATACATACAAGGTATCTGTTTAAAAATTATGATGTAAGTGGCACATGTGAAAGTAAGGAGAAAAAGGCGGACAGCACACGTACTTGGGAGAGATAGGGTCTTACTAATAACAGAAGCAAGTATAGGAAAGCCAGAAGGGAAACAACCATTAGGAGGGCTCAAGAAGAGAAGGTGGAATGATGTCACCGAGGACACTATAGAAGTGGGGACAGCAGTGGAAGAAGCAGAAGATAGAGAGGGATGGAGAGCAGTTGTTGGTGCGGCCAAATCCCACCTTGGGCATAAATAGCCATAGGAGCAGCGCTCGATTTGCGTGGTAACGCAGCAGAACAGAGTTCCAGTACCTCTCTTTTAGGAAGATTGTAATAAAGGTACAAATCTTATTAACATGTTACACATGTCAACTCAATTTTTACAAATCAAGCACTGCATAGGTTTATGTAAGTGTTTAGGAGTAGTAAAACATCAACATATTTATGAGCAAGTTTTTGGCATATTTGCTTCTCCTTTGTTATTATTTTCGTGTGTGATGCTATTTCATTTACCTAAATTTATAATATCATACCATATAAGCCTATGAGGGGTACAAAAATTAAAATTTTAACATATGCACGGGAATGAATTATGAAATCAAGAACATATTATAGGTTTTATTTCTTAATAGGAAATTTTATTTACTTTTTACTTAATTCATTTCACACTATTCTTCCTAATGAAACAATATACTTACGATTTTAAACTGAAAATTATAAGTTACCATAGGGAAGTTATCACGTTTTAAACTTGTTTTATGAACTTATTAAAGCTCTTATAAACTTATTAAAGCTCTTGAGTCCCTGAACAAAAATAAGACGTTTACATTGATTATCCTATGGGTGTATTGGCGGACATGGATATTAGTAGGCCTACAGTATGTAAGACATACTAATACACAGACAAGTCAATACAAGGAACATTGTTCTAAATATTACTGTCGCTGGTATTCTTAGCAACAAAAATCCAACAATCACAAATGGCTTCAAGACGTACAACGGTTTGAAAGTAATGCTGGACTCATATATTGGCATAATCTGTACGTATGAGAAATATCAAAATCAAATCAAACTTAAAATGTTATTATCGACACGACATTGGTTTTCTTGACTCACCTATTTTTGGCACTACTGCCGGTTATCTCTATCTTCTCCGGATGGTTCAATGGAAGATCCCAGAACTCCTTGTGCAGAGCTCTTGCGTCTTTCAAACAGTTCCTCAGCTGTCCTCGACTCAGTACGTTGCCAACTGACAGCAAATACTCTTCAGCAGTGCTACAGGCAACACAATTTGTATAGCAAGATAAAGAGAAACTGAGAATCTAGTTTAAAACTCAGCAGACAAACAGAGTATTTTTTGAGAGTAGGTTGTGTATTTAGACGTTTTAATAGGTGTAGTAAAATATTTAGGCTACAAACTCTAAAATAAATAATAGGGTGGATATTACAACAACAAAAATAACTTTTCTGGCCTGATCCGACAGGTAACATCATTCAGAGTATAAAACCGTCCTAGAGCCACACTATGTTGTTCTATTTTGGATCGTAAAAAGAACACAGATAGAATTAAACTTGTAATATCTTACCACTCTCGGGTGGGAGTAACACTCAGGTTCTCTTGACTCGGGTGTAGAAGGTCAATAGTCAAGCTGGCACTAGAGCCCCTCCGTTCTAGAAGCCCCTTCGCCTTGATCCTAATCGGCTCTTTTTTCTCCTCGGTTAAATTATGAGCAGTCATTACTTCAGGCAAAATGGCACGGGTAGCTGGAAAACATTGCACCATAAGTTGATATGTTTTGAATATAATTTTCAAACTATGCTTGAGTAATAACTTTGTTTTCATTAAGTAGGCCTACAACAATAGATATTTAATTCAGATACTTCATGGCGGGCTAGCTTTAAACAGTGAGTTAGTTCAGTTTGATAATTAATTAGGAAGCTCAGTTATGAAAGCTTAATAAAATTCTGTCCTCAATCCATTTAACTATTACCGTAATACAAGTGAAGTGTTTACCATGCGGCGGATGAGGAATGATGGGCAGAATCTCACACTGCTCCGTAGTCACTGGTTTGATCACTGGATGATAGATCCACTGACCCTCGGAATGTGACAAACTTTCGTCTCCAATCTCTACTTTATCACTTCCTGTCGAAGATGATGAGGACATTTGATTCTTCAACCAGATCAGAACCTTGACAAACGACACTTTGTCAGTATAAAGTAGAACCTCAACATACATTACACAACTAAAAAAGCCAATTTTCCAATTAATATACTGTTGCAAGATGAGTTAAAATCCTCTGAGTGTATTTTGCTATTTATTATTGTAGTAGATTCTGGGTCCTTCTTTAAACGAGGTTTGTCTGAAAGTTAGGGTCTCCACCAAGCTCAGCCACGACCAAGCCAGCTACTTTAAATCTGACATGAGGGCCATGTTTCTATATTATTCTTTGGCTGCCCCAGCTGGTTAATAAGTCTCGTCATTATAGCCAATGACGATGTGAAAGAAAATTCACACTTCCACAAGGCATGCATGTTTGCTGTTCTGTACTTAGATTTCCGCAATCTCAAGAGTTCAACTACAATTGAAATCATCACCAGTTGATGGATAAGTGTGGAGAACATTTTCGGACTTATGTGTGTTTAAAGAGGGTACAAGACCAAATTTCTTAAGGTTATTCCTATAAACAGGCCATCAACAAAAACTTATTCACAATAAAAATAACAAGAGGGATGATAACCCATGTAGCAAGCAATGTATATAATACGTAAATATTCGGGATTAAGGTATAACCAACGTATATGTATTAATGATACAGATAATATACATATTATATACTAATATGAAAATACGGTTTCATCCAAAATAAATTTTGCATAAAATACTGTAAAATGAAGAAACAAAGTGTAAATTTTCACCTAAATGTTGTTTTGAGGGCATAAATTAACTTTCGAGAATGCAGTAAAATAAGTAAAGGTATTGATGATACAGATAATATATGTATTTTATATCAATAGAAAAATACGAAAAAAATTGTAGTGTTTTATTTATTTCCCTGCATTTTTTCAACATCCTGTGTAAAATGTATTTGTAACACATACTGTACTATAATATTCATAGATGATGAACAAAATATTCTGCCGCGCGAGATACCCGAGTCTCTGCGTTTTCTTAGGTTCGACGATGTTTGCTGATGCATTATGGGAGCAAAACAGCGGGGGTCAGCACAGCATCCGATCCGCCACCGCCTCACCGCCATATTGTTTGTCCGTCTTAATGTCTTTGTCTCACAACTCACAACAAACGTTGTCCTTGTGGCTGTGTTTAGACTAGAGCATCTACTTCTGATTTTCAGTGTTACACGGGAAGAATTCGTTGTTTTGTTATTATTTACTTATTAATTAGGTCTATTAGTTACTTTTTACTTTATATTCTTTAAGATTTGCGTTACATCTTCGACTTTTTAACTTCAGTGGCGATTCGACTAACTTGAGTTGGTAAAATTATTATCGTTACCGTATTGTAAGTTATTAAGAGATTTAGCATATGTTTTGTTAATAACTCGAATGGTGGTAATCTAATTTAAATACTTTATAAGTGGAAATAGGTTACAATAGCCTTCCTAACCCCTTAAAAACTCTACGGATGGAGGCTCTTTAGGGATAAATTAGGCTGTAGTTTACAAAACTAAGGAAGCCAACTTCAGGAGATAACCTAGACCTAATTCATTGCAATATGTCCTTGGTCTGAACTAATTTAGCTTGGAGACAAGCTAGGCCTAGGTCTACTTAACAAATACCGTAGCTAAACTTATGCCTAAGTTACTTAGTACCTGTCATAAGTTAGCCTAGGCCTAACTTACAGTTAAGACTAAAAATGATGTTAATTGGTAAGTTTATGTTATAATTCAGGCCTAGTCTTGTAGGCAGATGAATATTTTAAGACCATAAGGGGGTAACTTAACTTACAGTTCCGAAGAGAACCTGTGATCTGTGAACAGATGGATGACTTAATGATAAATATCTTTGGTAAGTTAAATTAAATGTTTATTCTTCTTCCCAATGTAAATATCAAATTGACCTATGATTTGTTTTGCCTACGTTTCTATCGATATTAACTTAACTAGCCTATAAGCATATTTAACCACAAACAAAATATAGCCTGAGACGGTAACTTACTAGCCAAATATAGCCTAACCTATTTAATGAAAAAGCAACAAAAGAAAACATAAAGTTAGCCTCTTAGGCCTATAACTTAATGTATAAGCTAACTGGGAAAATTAAAGTCAATGCAATATTAAAGTTAACTAGGCCTAAACTTAGGCCTAGGCCTATGTTAATATTTATAAAAATATTGATAAATTGTTATTGATCTGATAACTTAATAAGATCGCAGGTTCTCTGCGGAACTGTAACCCCAGAAGGCTGCAGCTTTATAATTAGGCCTACGTCCTTCAAAACTATCGAAAGGAAATGTCAAACAAATAACTTAAGGTGCCGCGTTTGCGATCAGTAGGTTATGGTTAGGTTAGGTTTAGCTACCGGTATGTTTTTTTTTTGTTTACGATTAACTTAACTTACGTCTAACTTATGAAACAACATCGCAGCTACCTACGTTTAGTAATTTTTATCAAGGCTTGGCACATAATAGCCTAGGGTACGATTTATTTATAGATGGCACTTTGAAGGGTAACAACGCTATCAAAATGTATATCAAATATGCCTATGACATCACAGCTGTCTTTCTAAGATCTAGGGATGAAAGTTTTAACTTACCCAGTACCGCGGTTAAAAATGGGCCCTGGTCCAGGGGCGCAAGAGTTTTTTTTGTTTTGTTGGGTGCGCTAGTAACAGACACTAATTGGAAAATATCTGAAACCTCCTCACTTCGTCTTCCACTCATGACTCATCACTGCCACTGTTTGTATATTAGGCCTGTCATTAACTATACTTAATCGTCTGTCTTTATTTGTAGGCTATTAATTTGTTATGTCCTTTTTTCATTATACTCAATGTCAGTTGCTTTTGTCAAATGGCGAGAAACTTATTACAGTATCAATTTGTTAGCAAGTAAAGATACTGGCCGTGTTTTTACTTATGATTTTATTTACGTTCGAAGAATGTTATTTTACGTTGTAATATCACACCCTTTTTCTGTGAAATGAGCATAAAACCAAGTGGCAGTGATTTTAGAAAGAGGGCGACATAAAAGATTCGTAAGGTAAAAGTTACAAAAAGTTCCTAAAATAAGTAGCCTAGTTTTTACGGTCATTAAAATCATTTAGGCCTAAATGATGATGTGTACAGAAAGTGATGTAGGTAAATCTGAAAATGAACTTTGATGATGTTAAGTTATTGACGAGTTGGCCGAAAAAAAAATGTAGAAAAAACCAGCCATTTTACGGTATTGACTTTTTGGAGTTTTAAATGTTTGCAATTATAACTTATATAAATTAAAACTATGTTTTAATTCACACTTTTTTACAACTAAACCAATTTTACTTTTAAGAACGCACCATTGGAAATATAAGTGTGTACGGTATGTAAGTAACAGTTAAACTTTAATTGATGGTTTACGTTTTTAGTTACTAAGCGGGTAATTCAATTAACAATCAAAAGTAAACACAATGAGTCTTCTTATATTTGTTAGGCCTATATTGCAGATGCGCGAGCAACTCATAAAATGTCTATATTTATTTTATAATTCAAATCAATGTCGGCAGGGTGGGGGGGGGGGCTATGAGCGCAACTATGACTTGGGCCCATAGCGTATCACATAACTGACCGCGGGCCTGAACTTACCCCCGAGTGTAGATATAACTTAACCTAAAAATACAGAGGAGTGTGACGGCTGGGACTGAACCTGCTAAGGGAAAAACTTAAGAATTGAACTCACAGTCAACTTTGTATAAAATATAATTTGCCCGTTGATTTTCAGTGGCGTAACAGAAGGGCCCGCAATGCGGGGTGCCCGGGAGCTGGCGGGGGGGGGGGGTGGGCAGAGAGACCCACTAATTTGTTTAGGGTACCACTCTTTTTATGATTAATCTGTTTGATCATTGTATCGGTGGTCCTAAAATTGCTCTGGGGGGAGGGGGAGGGCGATTCACTATGTTGAATCGGTGGTCTTAAATTAACTCATAAGAGGGGGGCCCAAAAAATAAGTTTACAGGGGGGCCCGTAAAGATTTGTTACGCCACTGTTGATTTTGTTGTGCTAAATAATGTATGGAATCTCGAATGTTTCTTTTTCTAAATGCTGGGCCCAAATACACTACTTTACTTCTTTGCATTTGCCCGATTATGAGCAACATGTAGGCTAGGCCTACACTAGTTTATTATAAATGAAGGTCCTATAATCAAAGCTTCTTACAAACAGATTTGTAAACTTAAACTTCTCTGCCATCCTTGTTGAAAATAATAACATACCGTACTTTTAAACAAAAATGCTTTTTATAAAACACCAGACTTGTTAAACTAATATAATAGTAATAGAGGTTGAAGAGTTAAGCATTTTTATAATGTGTTTCAGGTCAGTTATCTTCGCACGGTTGGCGGGGCCAGTGTTGAGGACTCAACAAGACGGATCCTTGTAAGACTATTCAAAAATGAGCTTGCGAGAGAATTTAGTTGGGAAGGAAGAGGAGGAAAGAAGTGGAGTCTGCAGAACTCTGCATTGGTGCAGTTGATTTGCCGTAAGTTTTTTAAATTTGGTTTATAATGTTACTTTTATTTATTCTTTCAATGATAGGCCTATATTTGACATTTATTTATTTTTCTATAAAGTCAACTCAACCAAAGTTAGTAATTTATTTTTTAACCCTGTTTTTACCATCATAGGTTTTATTATTTAACTAATAATTGGTATGTACATATACGTCATACAGTAGCCTACATTTACTTCATACCCCCACTTGAAAATGTCATTCTGGCGAAACATCTTGTTATTCTTTACATACATTTTTAGCAGTATGGCGTAAAGTTACGTAACAATTATTAGTCAATAAAAAGGTTCAGGGGCTAGATCAATGGATTTTAATTATATTAATTTATCATCTTATAATTAATTATCATAGGCTATATGATATTAATTTATGATGTTACACACATTTTTTGTCTGTAGAATGTACCGTACCTATCCTTTTTTTCTGCACTGTACTCTTTAAACCTCTTCAATACTTTGATTTCTTGATTGCAACTTGTTAGTTTAGCTCAAAAAGAAACGATTTTGCTTAACACGTTCAGTGCGGCAGGCATTCCAACAGGCGCTCGCCAATGGCGGCAAAGCCCTGGCGCGGTGCCGTACCAACAGCAAACGCAATTGGCATTCAAATATTTCAATCTGACGAAAAACAAAAGAGCAGGGGCGATTGTACTACGTTACCCCGAGATTGAACGTAGTTCCCTAAAACACCCAAAGGTAGCACTGCCTGGATCAGTAGTCAGTGGCTTTGTAATATGGCTTGAAGAGAGAAAATCCCCAAAACCGGTACAAAAGCATTGTCAGACGGGATTTTACGGGAAATTTTAGTACCAACCTACACCAAAATAAAGCTTACATTCTAAGCTACGGGCTAGCAACGATTTTAACGTTCCCCGGCAATGGCTGAGCGCATACTGAACTAATGTAGGGGGGGTTGCGCAACTACATCAATTGATGTAGGCCGCTCATGTCGCGACTACGCACTAAACGTGTTAAAAAAATGTTAAAAATGAAAACGTTAAAAATGAATTAATCTAAGTTTTGCCATCAAGAAAACAAAGGATTGATTACCAAAAGATATGTTGCTCTAAGCGTGAATCTTGTGCGTACCCTAATATTACCTTATACACAGGAATACAGACATTGACACAAGTGTGAATTTTGTTTCAGGTGTAGTTCGTCAACAACACCCGTCCTCATTCGATCTCACAACATTTGAGAAAAAACCAGCGAATGGTTACGCCAAGCAGGAACAAGGATTTATGTCAAAAATAAAAATTTAGGCCTACCGCAGATGATCAATTAAATAGTTTTTTCTTGACATTTCTTCATTGTTTCATTTATATGTTCCTTTAAAAAGTGTGTTAATAAACAACAGAAACAATTTTATAAAAACAACTTTTATACTTGAATGTATTAGGGTACTTGTGATTACATCTGAACAAATATTTTTACTCATTTTTTTTATTTTTGTGCATTTATTTTTGTTTTTTTACTGTGCAAGTATTTTTTGTGCACAATTTAGAATAGGTCTAAAAAGTTACTAAAAAAACTATTATTATTTGTTGAGCCTAGCCTTCTTGTTTTCTCACATTAAATAAACAACAGGGAAAATGGAAAACTAAAAAAACAACATTTTCATGTAAGAATAAGATTCAGTTAAAAAAACTAGAAATTATTCATCAGTTGTGAGAAGTGAGTTAGTATTTATTTTTACACTTTCAGTTGTTATAATCATACTGTATTATTATTAATAATAGGTTATTTTTCTAAACTATTTCAACTTAATCTTCTTAACATTCAAGCTAGTTATTACTATTAATTATTATCAGCTGAATAATGCTTGGTAATATAAACACTAATATAATAATTAACATATTATTTACTTTTTTATGCAAATAAATGCACTATCCAAAATGCTTGTTAAGTGGTACCTATTCTCATCAAGGTAATTTAATAAGTTTTTCTCAAATAATCTTCAATGTACGATAATTAAAAAAATTTGAAGCTGTCTTGGTCTAATATTTGTTAAGGTAGTTGCCATATTCTTTATCTTCCCTACTTCATTAAAACACATATTCTTTAAAGGTAAAATCATTTGTTTTTTTGTGGCTGCTACCATTTTTAAGGAAGTCTACAAAAATTGCATAATTCTCTCATTCTTTGGTTTGATTATGATATGAAAATAAATGCTGATAGCTAGCCTACACCAACAATATAACATTACATTTTGCATACTGTATTGTAATGATGTAGTAACTGTAATAGGTGCTCTTTCCCCTTCTAGACTTTCACTAGGGCCCCTCTGGTTCACCTTAGGAGCTTCGGATGTGATCTGTACCCCGAGGTCCTACGGGCCTGCTTCAGATGAAACTATATACTGAACAGCAGTAGGTTGTCCCTAAACTAGATCAATTATGTATTTACCTGACAAATCACACAACACATATTCCTAATGAAGACTTAAAATATTGTTTTACCATCATACAACACACCAACCCTCATGACACATAGTTCACCTCCCATAACAAATACCTTCAAAGAAAACTGTTAGTAAAAATCAATGTATATAATTTTATATATTGATTTTTATGACAATTGTATTTTGAGCCACTTTTTATTAATATGGCATCAAATATGTATCATCTATGTATAAAATATGTATTTTATACATTTAAGGTATGCATCAATTTCTATCAAAATTTACAGATTATATACAGATGTATAATATGTATCATATCTGTAGTTGGATCCTTATACAATATGCATATAATACATATTTAGGTGGGACATATTTACAGATACAATCTGTATTGTATACATTTCTATACAGATTGTATACAAAAGCTATACCATGCCGGTAGGTAAATTATACGTATTATATACATATTTGTGCTACTTGGGAACTCATATGGAAACACAATTTTTCTTTATATAATATTTGGAAAAACACATTTTTGGAGTACAAATCATCTTCCCAATAATCAGCTGTTGTACCACAATTAATTGTTCCACAATCAAATAACATTAAAAAAATGTGCTATATAGGCTTCTAGGGACCTACAGGAAACAGTAGCATGCAGCTGGTCCTTGACTAGACTGCAGTGATAGCTAGGCTACTTTCCTGAAGAGAAATTTACTAAAACAAATTTGCTAAGTTACAAGAAAGTTCCTACAAAAATTATCATGCGCAGAACACAATGGTAGGTTTGCAACTATAGTTAACCCTCAATAATCTGTCGACTCTGTTAAAATGGTCTTTGGTTCATTCGAACAGCAACTATAAAAAGTTATTCATAATGGACAAGGGGTATCTTAACAGTCCTAGAATACCGCTGTCATTATTCATATCAAAACTATACCATACCAACAACTTGGGAACTCAAATCTTGATTAATAAAGGTTTATATACTAGGCTAAATGAATTTGAGCAGAGATCCTGTGTCTAGGCACAAGGTAAACATAGATTTAGGGAAACTTGCTAAAAGGTTCTCACCACAAGAAAGAGTGCTAAACCACAAACAAGGGCGATAAGCGAGACTTGCAACTGCCAATGGGGATGCCATTCTTCTTGTAATACAGTATCTCCACTCCACAGCGTGCCCAACTCTTCACGCTTCCGCCCCATCTTGAAAACATTATCTGGAAAACCAAACATTACTATCAATTATGCAAGCAATTTTAGTTATATTTACACCAACGTTTTGAAAAATTGAAAAAAGAGCAATATGGTTTACATATTGTAATGGAGATTTTTTGAGAATATAGGATATTTCATTGCTTTATTAAGGGGATATGGCAGTGAAATAATGATTTTTTTTTTTAAGTGATTTTTTTAATTTTGCTATTATTTATTATTTATACAGTAATGCTAAAAATAAGAAAAATTGGTCAAAAATTAAAAAAAACGTTTAGTGCCTGCCTAGGCTATATCAAGAAAAATTACGCTACATGATTCAAATTTTTACCAGTGTTTAGAATTTTATTGTCTAAATAATTAGATAGAATTGTACATGTAAGTTATGTCTATTCTAAAGTGAATAAAGATTTTTTTATTTTCACAGAAAACCAATTTCTTTTTTATTACAAAATTACCCATAAAAAAGTAATAAATCAAGATATAGTTATAATTCTACCTAAATATTTAGAGGACATTATTCCCTGCAAACTGATGACGGTTAAATGATTAAAATCCAATAATTAGAACAGAAGTTATATCAAATTATAGCATTTTCACTGCCATATCCCCTAACAGAATCTACACATGCCTCAGTCAACATTTTGCTAAAAATACTTTATACCTTTTGTTAAAATGGCGACCATACAAAGTAGGTATTTTAAGCCAAGTATGAATGGAGATAATTTGAATTGAATTGAAAATGGCTTTATAAATATAATATACAGTGGTATACATTGAAGGGTGTCATTATGCTAAATTACAGTGTAAGACAATTACTATTAAAGTAGGCTAAATGCTAAGCTTCAAAGTCTTTTTCAACTATTAAGTTATTAGCAAAAAACACAGTGAAAAATCACAGTAAATTAGGTCTAAGCATTTTCATCACATTGTAGACAGTCGTTTTGTTAAAGAGCTCAGCTTCAAATCTGAGAGTCGCTGGTTCGGTTCCAAGCGAGATCATAACTGGACTCGGATGCCATTTTTTTTTTGTTATTGGGCTATTAATGAATGATGTTATTTAACAAATTCTAACGTCTGTTGGACGTTGTAGATAGCAACAAGCTTGTATTGCATTCTGAGTCAAGTGCATTGCCTGAGTCGGTTAAAGATCTAGTATATAAGTGGCTTGTTGAACATCCTATTTTTATGTAAAGTTGTTAAGTTTTGATGTTTTAATTTTTTTATCTAGTATGTTCCACCTAAGCCTACTTTTTACTTTAATTTTTATCTTTTATTGTCTGTGATCTTGTAGCTTATTAATCTAGTCTGACTGGGTTAGGCTACTGTGTTTAACCATATGTTACCATAATTTGAGACCATGTCTAATGCATGATTGTTAAAAATGCTTAAGGGTTATAGAGGTTTTATAAAATTACATATAATTTGATCATCTCCAATGGTCACGATCACTTAGTGTTAGTAATCATCTCCTTTGTTCGGGGTGGCATTACGATCATCTCCACGTTGTTAAGATTGGTACAAAAACAAATGGGCTTGGTTGGCCCTTTGCCTATTGCAATACTGGTATTGACATAAAAATTGGGAATAAAAATATCCCAAACAATCAGTGTTTAAAATACCTAGTTTTAAGCTAGACACATTAATCACGATAAACTGTAAATATTTTGAGTTTTCCTTGCTACCACCTTCATACTATTCTGGTGCTCACTATACCCTTAAATGGTAATGAAAAATTACGAGTTCCAGTAAAAAAAAAATCATATTTAGTCTCTTCCCACAACCCACCGATATTGCTCCCACGACCCATAGTTCGGGAACTGCCGATGAAATAATATATTTCATTATAAGCACCGAAAACGGCATTTTTCGGTGCACGTTCAAGTTTCGTACAAAGAAGTGTGAGGCTAAGCTGAATAAACATTAAATTTCAAGAGCATGTGATAGTGAGTTTCACATCAGGCGAAGCTGTGGATGGGGATAGGAGCAATTGCTGGAAAATCACTTTCGATAGTTCACAAGTTACCTATGAACAATACTTGTCATCCCTATGCAAGAATAATCACATATAAAATAAAGCCGGGTTTACACTATGCAGCTAAACCTGCTATATAACTTTTGTTGTATAACATTGCTAGCCTATATGAATAGTTACAGACAATTTTGGTGATTCCGGTGCTCGTGCTATAGGCCTATGTAATATGTAGCAAAAACTAGCTTTGCTTGTTTCTGCATACATTTAGGTTAAACAATACAAACAGCAGATTTCAATTATAAACGGTAAAGAAATTTGGTGCGCGTAGTGGGCAAATGAGATCTAAGTTAGCCTATATGATTGAGAGCCAGAAAATTAGAGCTTGGGAAAAACTTTTTTTCTTTTTAATAAGTTATCAGCTGTCATCGAAAATAACTACTCTCTCCACGGAAAAGGTGAGAAAAATTATTTTCTGTAGCAGAAACTCACCTAACGCTTTATCCTGAAACTGAGTGCTATCCCAGTCTCTGTGGCCCCCACCCTGCCCCATCAGATTGTAAGAGTACGAAGCCCCTATGAAGGGTAGAGCGGGGCGCCATGCCCGATTGTCGTACTCTTCATGATGCTTCTTTCGCTTAGCCAATGTCACTTTGCATTCATAATCTGGAATAAATAATACTGAATTGAAACAAGCTATTTGTTTCTTTTATTAGGTAACTTATAACATTAGGTTATCTTAAAAGTAAAGACCAAATTAGAACTACAGGTAATTATGTCGACCTCCAGTCAACGCTCTAAAAATTATTATTATTTTTTTAATTTGTTCGTTTTTTAGTGCTGATTCCAAAAATGATATTCATTTTTTGCGGAAACGTCCCGTTTTCCCGGAAAATGGGAAAAACGGGAAAAATCTTTTTTTCCCAAAACCCATGTTGTGGGTACTCAAATTGTGCGGAATTTCCTCCTGAACAAGAATATGTAATTTCTATTACGATTGGACCACTATTAAGTAAAATATCACCGCAAAAGCGGCCGCTGGCTACTTACTGCCACATAGCGCTAGCATTGAGAATGACTCTAAGCCAGTGTTTAATGAGGGCTTTATTTTGGGTTAGGATTGATTAGTTTAGGTTAGGTTAGGTTAGGTTAGTTTAGGTTAGGTTAAGTTTGGTTAGGTTAGGTTAGGTTAAGTTTGGTTAGGTTAGGTTAAGTTTGGTTAGGTTAGTTTAGGTTAGGTAAGTTAAGTTTGGTTAGGTTAGGTTAGGTTAAGTTAGGTTAGGTTAGGTTAAGTTAGGTTAGGTTAGGTTAAGTTAGTTAAGGTTAGATTAAGTTTGGTTAGGTTAGGTTAGGTTAAGTTTGGTTGGGTTAGGTTAGGTTAGTTTATCAATAACATGAGTTTTGAAAGTAAATGAACCTAAAATTGTAACTTTATCAGGTTTGGTAAGGTTAGGTTAGTTTATGTTAGGTTGAGTTAGTTTAGGTTAGTTTAGGTTAGGTTAAGTTTGGTTGAATTAGGTTAGGTTCGTTTACTTACAATACTCATGTTATTGATAAACTAACCTAACCTAACCTAACATAACCAAACTTAACCTAACCTAACCTAACTTAACCTAAACTAACAAAACCTAAACTAACCTAACCTAACCAATCCTGACCTAAAATTAAGCCCGCATTCCACAATTTAAGGTTCGTTTACTTACAATACTCATGTTATTGATAAACTAACCTAATCTAACCTAACCTAACCAAACCTAACCTTACCAAACTTAACTTAACCTAACCTAACTTAACCTAACCAAACTTACCAACTTAGTTAGGTTACGCTAGTTCAAGTTAACTTAACCAAACTTAACCTAAACTAAACTAACCTAACCTAACCAATCTTAACCTAACCTAAACTAACCTAACCTAACCTAACCTAAACAAACTTAACCTAACCTAACTTAACCTAACCAATCCTAACCCAAAATAAAGCCCGCATTATACAATGGCTTAGAGTCATTCGCAATGCTAGCGCTATGTGGCAGTAAGTAGCCAGCGGCCGCTTTTCCGGTGATATTTTACTTAATAGTGGTCCGATCGTAATAGAAATTACATATTCTTGTTCAGGAGGAAATTCCGCACAATTTGAGTACCCACAACATGGGTTTTGGAAAAAAAAAGATTTTTCCCGTTTTTCCCATTTTCCGGGAAAACGGGACGTTTCCGCAAAAAATGAATATCATTTTTAGAATCAGCACTAAAAAACGAACAAACAAAAAAAAAATAATAATTTTTAGAGCGTTGACTGGAGGTCGACATAATTACCGAACTGCAACTAACTTACTTAACATAAATTGTTAGAAAACTGTTTCCCAATTATGGCTACGATTTTGGTATCGTAGCTTTCAGTCATTTACCAGGTAGTTTAATTAGCCTAAGGTTTAGTCAAGTTACCTAATTTTAATTTTTGTAGTTGAAGGCTATAAATTCAGCTTAATAACGCAAAATCGATCATGTGGATTAAACAAATAAAAACATTTAAATACCCCCGCAGCAGCAAACCTGCAGACTAAGCGAATTTCCATTTACCTGGCTGGATTTCTCCTAATATATACCCTGAAAATTGTCATATTTATTTCGGTACTATCCTGTTAAAGGGAACATTCATTATTATCGATGATTTGTTCGATATATCGATATTTTTGTTTACCGATCCATTACATATTGACAACTGATCTCGTTTAGGCTAAAATAGTCTATTATATTGATTAAGAAATGAAACTGTTCTAAGCTAACCTAACATAACCAACCAAACTTGCTCTACTATTTAAAAATTCCTTTTGATAACAGAAAAGGCAAGTTAAACATACAGCAAGTTTGGTTAGTTATGTTAGGTTTTTTTTTTTTTTAAACAGTTTCATTTCATTATTGTTTGTTGGTACTGAACAATATTTATCGTAGTTGTCAGCTGATATGTTTCAATTTGTTAATATCGATATATCGAGAAAAAAATCATCGATAATAATGAATGTTCCCTTTAACAGGAAAGTACGGTACCTTTATTTCCTATTTAAATAGCATTAATTTTAATGAGTGCCTAGGTTTGCTGCTACTTCAGGTAATGAGGTGAGTTTTTTTATTGAAATGTTGATAGCTTAGTATGAAATAAACAAAATTGCCAAATTTGATTAAAATATATCCATAAACAAGCAAAGTACAACAGTTTATTTATTCTCCATATAAGAATACGGGTAACATGAGAATTTTAAATTTAAAGTTTTTAAAATTATCTACGTAACCGTTAGACATACAACAACGCTTCAATATACAAAATTATTTCTTTTTTTAAGCTCTACAAAATGGTCTGGAAAGAAATGGTGAAATTTGATGTTTTTAGAGTCAAAAATGGGAAAAACCTATTTTTACCCCTGTTTCCATAGTCCGATCATGCAAGTTAGCAAACTCGTTCGAATAGACGTTGGTTTACACGTTTCTACCAAATTTCATCAAAATCTGATCATCTTTGCTTAAGTTATCGCGCTAATGGACACACATAATATATATATTAGTTAGAACAGAGGGTGTTTTTGGCCTCTGGGGACCTCAAAACAAAAAAGTAAATCACTCCCGGGTCCAGGTCTTACCATAAGTACTACGGTAATAGCTTATTCCCTATATGGGAAATTCGCTAAAAGAAGGAACTTCCCTAACTTAATAACTTTATTGAATAAATCTGCTAGGGCTTAGTTTAACTAATTGCTCAATTGATACCGTAGTTGATAGATACGGTACGGTACTAACCTATCTTAAAAAACTACTTTTATTGGATAATGGTAACAAGGCGAGTAACATTTTCAATGAACATTTGTTTATAAATGCTTTAAGCTTAAGTAAACGGAAAGCGGTCCAAATTCTTCAAGTAGGCCTAGGTTAGGCCTACTTAGTTAGGTATGTTTGGTGGAAATGCCAGGAACCAAACCTGTGTTCCTCTCACGTAGGTGTCCAGGACATTAACGCTAGTAACTTAGGCTATAATTATTGATTGTTACACTGTTATTTATTTATTGTTAGTTTGTAAATGTTTTGTTGAATCTTTTTAAATCGTTTTGCCTTTGGCAGGTTAACTTATGTATAAATAAATAAAAATAAATAGGCCTAAAGTTAAATAAATTAAACTCATCCTTCTATTCACTACTAATTTTTTTAAATAGAACATAAGTAATCAACCTTCTAAGTTACCGGTATCTGAATATAACGTTAGGCTATTCAACACAACTTAGGCTTTTTAACTTAGGTAGTCTATTTTCAATCCAGTCCTCCAATAGGGAATGGTTCGCAACTACCGGTACCGTAACTTAACAGAACCCAGGATTTTGACCCTACACCAATTTTTTTTTAGCAAAAATAAGGGATTATATATACCCTAATCAAAATATCTTAACTTAATGCTGTTTGTTTTGAGCCAAAACTTTTGAGGAGTTTTTATTACCATGCTAAGTTAAGTTATGACAAATTTAGGGTACCTACAGTTTCTTAACTGATCTAATGCTAATATCGATTGAAACTTATCGAATAGAAAATATTGATTAATAATCATATATATTTAAATATAACCTTTGACTAGTAATACGGTACAGCTAGACATCCCATCCCCATGTTAAAGTTGTCGCCAGGTTTTTTAAATAATTAAGTTAAATTTGTCTTACTTAGTTGAAGTGAGCCACCTACAGATTGCTCCTGATATAAATTACTGATTTCTACCAACACAGTGGTTACACAATGGTTTTTACCAAGTCAAACTGATGGAATGACTTATTATAAGCTATACCTAGGTAGCAACTGTTATGACCCATTAACTACGGTATGTCAGTAACAAAAAATAAGATACAAAATAGTTTTAGACACTAGAGCAATCTGTGACTGGCTCACACAAACTGCATTTTAGTTTTTAGTACAAAATTGGCTGATCCATATAGATGGGATGTCTTTTTCTGTATCCGATATAACTTGAAAGTATCGATTATAAAATTAAACTGGGGTACAGTTTCTTAACTAGGGGCTATGCTAATGTTGATTGAAACTATCGATTCGATTAGTAAACCTTCATGCGATTTTTTCACCATCAGCAAGTTTGGTTGGTTAGGTTAGGGGTATTTATTCCGGAGGTGCCTCCAAACGAATTTTTAATTTTGATATCTTACTTTATAGTTTTTTACCTCCTGAATCCAAATATACCATTATTTTTCACCGCTGATGACTATTTCTCAAGATATCGCCGTAAAAACATACTTAACATTACAATAAACAAGATAGGATGGATAACACTTCAAAAGATTCTGTAGTCAAATAACTTAATGTTCTATATAATAGGAATTTCGTCACATTGTATAGATATAGATGGACTGGTGGACTAATTACATATAGTTCTTATTTAGGCATGTCAGGGTGGTAGGTCGTGCTGTATGTGAATTGGTGACTGCATTAAGTGTTTTGAAGTTAGGTTAGATTAGGAAGGTAAAGTTTAGGTTATAATGTATCGGGTTGTTAGTTTATGTTGCCTGCAGACTGTTTTTGTAAAATTAAAATCCTGAGAAAAACACTTCATATTACTTTTTCAAAAATGCTTGCATTTTTGAAATAGTAATTTGAAGTGTTTTTTCTGGTAATTCATCCAAGTTCCAAGTTCTGGTTTCATCCTAGTAATTTACCCTAACTTATAACTTATCTAGGGTCAAAAATAGTTTTAACTGAAGCATTTTTCAAATAAAATATTTCACTGAAAAGTACAAAATAGAAGGAATGTAACAGACACAATATAAGATTCATCAAAGAGAAGTGTTGGCTAATTACACCAGGACCTAGGTCAACAAAATTAGAGTTTAGTAAGGGCACGACAGCACATAATTTGAATTTAAGTATTTGGGGGCATGTCAATGGTAGCTTCATGTTGTGTTGTTTATTCCTACGATAGGCCTACACAAAAAAGGGTACAGTTTCTTAACTGGGCTACCCTAACATCGATTGAAACTATCGATTTGATTAGTAAACATTCATGGGATTTTTTTACCATCAGCAAGTTTGGTTGGTTAGGTTAGGTTATGATAGTTTCATTTTATAATAGATATATTTAAAAAGAAGGTATCGGTTATTTATCAATATATTCAATTCGATAGTTTCAATCGATATTAGCGTAGCCCAGTTAAGAAACTGTACCCCAAAAGAATCTAAATAGATAAAGAAGGTATAAATTGTGTTAATGATTAAGTTTGGTTGTAAGTTAAGATAGCCTAGGCCTAGTCAAATCCAGGCCCTTAAAAAAACAACTGTACAAGTTGTATCAATCCACTTTTGATAAAAATAAATAACAACACTAAAGACCACCATGACGAAAATAGAGTTATTAAGTTTAAAAAAATAAGTTAGCCTATTTTCAATACTAAACAGTTATTTGCCATATAATTTTATTTTTTAGAATTAATAGGCCAAGGAGTTAAGCTTTTCAAAAACTTTTGGGCCCGACCACTAGCTCAGCTCGATTATCGATCCGGAGCCTTGCAATTTGGATATATGAGAAATGACACTTGTGAGGAGTAACAAAATGATAAATTATGCGAAATAAGTCTCTAAGTGAAAGTACCTTTAATAAACACTATGGATATAATCAAATAAATACACCAAATGCAACTTGCAGCACTGGGACACGAATTTAACGTGATGGGAATTGGATGCCGTGCAGCCATATTGACTTAGACCACACTGCTGCCAGCCTCGCAAATCAAAAACACAAAAATCATAGTAAATCTTTGAAAATATACATCGAAATTACATTATTTTTGTACGCTAAAGACAATTTACACAAATAAACCCAGTATATAGCAATTATGTTTATCAGGGTGGATTTTAAAATAAAACTTGTTATTATTGGGAGAACTTTAATTATTAGAGGGATACAACACATTTATAATTTATCACAAAATCGTGTAGGCCTATTCATTATTTCGATTTAAAAACTAGTAACTTACAGTATTAGCATAGATAAAACATACTCCCCCAAGGTTAGTTGGTTATTAGTTACCATTAGTTACTTGGTGTTGGTTAGTCTATGGTATTAGCCTAGTACACAACAAATAAAAATAAGGCGTTAAGGATTATAGACATCAAAATTTGCAGTAGGCCTAGACTAAAATAATCATTAAATCATTAGCTAATTATTTCCCCTTAGCTAGGCTTATGTCAAACAAAAAAATATAGGCTTATGTAAATTAAAAATTATACAGGGTGAAGTCAACGTTGTCGTTTAGCAAACCCGCGATGGTTTTTTATTTTTTTATATTTTGTTCAAACTTCTAAATGCCTAATTTAATTGTACATAATTGTAATGACGTTGTAAAAAATCGTAAAAAAACTGCATTATTTTCATTTTAATTTGAGTAAAAAGCACGAATATTTATAGAACAGAAAGCGATATGGATAAAAAGAAAGGACGTAGCTGGTCCTCTGAATCCTATATTCTAATAACATAAAAAATAATGGTTTATACTGTCAAAGGTCAAAGTGACCCCCAGTAGGCTAAAAACAGAAATGTATTAAAATCATTATTTATTACTATACCAGTGATATGAAGGCTAACACATGAAATTAACAAATGGTTTAGACAGTACAATTTAAATAATAAAAGTGACATAAGAGCTGGTGTTCGACCTAAATAAGTGCGGTAATTTGTAATTGTAAACAAGATCCAGGCAAAACAGCATAAAAATCAAACTAGCCTAAATGGTTACTAAATCTGAAATGAAAATCATCAATGACAATGTTTTGTTGGGCTAAATGATGACTGTAAAAATCACTACACTTATTGTGAGTCTTGGCTATACATTTGAAAGCCTAAAAGAAAAATGTACATATTGGCCATATTATTTACTATCTTACTCTAAAACTACCCAGATATATTAAATGGTAGGTTTACTGGCTATAGAAAGAAGAAAAAAATGAGGTGTGGAGATGAAAGGCCATATAGGCTTACCATTGACTATTGCATACTAAATACACTTTTTACTTTTATCAATAAATACCTTTGGAATTATTTTAAACCTGTAGGGCATGGTTAAAACCATATTATTTTAAATATTCAAATGAAGCTAGCATGTTGTTTGAGTATTATTAAAATTAATCCAATAAAAAGTGGAACTGGGTCTAGAATCGGTCTCTTTCAAAGAATAAATCTGTTTATGCTCTTTATTCAATGGCCTTGTTAATAAGGATCAAGAGACTTCAAAGCTATACTTTCAAATTGTTTAATTCCTCTCCTCACAAGGAGATGGATGTTATAGGCAGCTCCTGGCAGAATATTGAGAACTAGAGGTCGGCCAGTGGCCAGTGGTCGAAAATTTGACCAAAAATATGCATTATGAAAACTTCCCTATTTTCACCCCACGTTGTAAAATAAAACATAAGATTGGAATTTATTTAATTTGTTTTTATTTTCTGTTTATATTTCATTAGTAGGTGTTAATTCGTCTCCAGCATGGCAACCAATAGGGTCCATGTTAATTTTCAAATTTTAATTTATTTTTTGTGTGCTTATTATTGAGGTTATTTTATTTTATAAAGGGATTCTGCACATCTACAGGAAACTATCTGTCTTACAATATGCGTAGAATTTCCCTGTGATGCACACGAAAAAAAAGGTGAGCTGTGAAAAAAGGTTTTCAAGAAACATGCTTGCCTATTAGGATGAGGTGGAAAATATGGTAGGTATCTAAGTTTCAACAGAATGACACAATCGATCCCTATTACATTCAATTTGATGAATTAGCATGTGTTCATCTGATCTATAAGACCCGCCAACTTACTTTTAGCAATATTTGGGACCTCTTTTACATCATAACAATTGATTTATAAATATACAAGATAGAAATTAGTTGATTTTAAAACCAAATATAACATTATGCTTAGTGCCCCAGGATCACTCAAATATAACACCAGAACATACAGTTAGGGAACTGAAACTAAGAAACTTGATCATACATTTTTTGGCAAGTGGAAAAGTGCAGGGTGTATAGTGCCATCATAGATAAAAACATATTCCCTTAGGTGCCATACCCTGATACAAGACATGGGTATTCACTGATTTCATAGGTTAGTTTCTTACTTATATAGTTAAAGTATACATACAGATCTAGATTAAGAGATGCAACTCTTAACATCTCAAAGTAATTGGCCATAGACAAGCAGCCTATCTCCAAAATTTTTACTGAATAATTGACCTTAGGTATAGGGTAAACATACCATTGGTACACTGTAGGCCTACCTATGTGCAACACATAACTTAGATTTCACATTTGGGCCAAGGATTATTTATTCATTTTAATATGAATTGGTAATGTATTTTACAATAATTTTTAGTATTTTACAATAACAAACTAAATCAAGGTGCAATTCACAAGAATCCACTGACTCATTCGACATGTTAAGTTAACTTCCACCCCGCCATTCACCATCCAGTACCAGTTTATTTTAGATGGGTCTCACCCAAGGAGCTCTACAGTACTAAGTCGCACAGAAGACCTAACCAAGGCAGAATTGAGCCCTCAAATCTACAATGTTGAATGTTGTCTCTTTGCTAGGCATTGCTAACCTGAGCTGTCCATCCAATGGTGTAGTGAGTCGGGAACAGATGAAAGCAATGTTCCCACTCTGGTTTTACCAATTAAAGAACATATACATTGGCAAGCAGTCTGTATTTTTGCACAATGTTGAGCGTTCCTGGATTGGAAAATTTACTACTACACCACTGTGTGTACGGCACTTACATTACAGGTAAAGTAATTTCAATGCACAGGCCCCGCTTTGTATGGGATGACAGGGCTACAGCCAGGAGAGCCAAAATTTAGGGACGCCAAATTTCCAAAATATTGTTTTGTTTGCTACGGTACATACAAACTCACAAATTGCAATATGTATTTAAACCTCCAGATGTCGATAGGACTTGTTTTCAACTACTTTTATTTTTTAAAAAATCTGAAGGACCCTAAACCCCCAGATAAGGAGGATGAGCCCAAGCCAATTACAGCCCAGGGGCCAGGGAGCTATTCACCTGAAACTGTGGGCCTGCCAACCTCTATAGCTATAGATCAGCTGTTCAATCTTGTCTCAAAGTTGCAGCATATGTTTTCAGCCTAATTTTAAGTTATGCTGGCATAGCTCTAAGTTACTGTTTCATTGTTTAATTATGATGGCCGATATATTGGGCTTAAAAGTCCTTTGGGGCTTAAAAGATTGATCTCTGTATCCCTTTTCCATCCTTGACCACTCAGTCTACTACCCCTCACCCTATCCATCACCTACCTAGATCAATTTCCCATATCCCCACAGACCATAAAAATATTATGGGATGATAAATTATCAGAAATTAGGTGGCTCAGTCATGCGATAAGAAGAGAGGAGGATGCAACAATAAGAAGTGTGGTGTGTAGAGGGCCCGGAAGGAAGGAACGACTCTGTAAAGGATGGAGAGAACACGACTGATGAAGATAGAAGAATTGGTCATGGAAGGACTGAGGACAGAGGACAGGAGTCTGGAGGCAATTTCTTGGTGAGGCCAAAAATCAAGTTGGATTTGAGATAACCGCAGGAATAAGTATGGTGTTATGGCGCAGGAATACTCATATGTGTACTTAAACAAACATTTTTTAATTACGGTTCAAATGTCAAATATACAGTATTCTGTGAAAGAGAAGAACAACAATATAGTGCAAGATGAGAAAAACCTATCAATTAATAGTGTCTTGGTGTGTCACTTATATATCGACATTTTAACAAAATATTTACCATACAACAGTAGAACAATTCTTTCGGCGATCTACAATAACAGAATAAATCATTGATTTTGCCAATGCGTTGGTTACTATGTTGAACAGTCTGAAACTAAAAGGGTGTGCGGTGAAAAAGCGATGTTAACAGCATTTGACATATTTTAAACTTGTTTCCGCCCTCATTCATAGGTAATTCTTCGAAACAGTTATCACGTTTTAAGATTTATAAAATGCTTTGCTCAACCAACCGCTTTTCAGTGTTAACAAACTATGAACTAAAAGATCGTGGAACATGTTTGCTTCTAGAATTAGCTAGATTCTTTTAAAATAGGTACCGATAGAAATATTACTATACCGTTGCCCACGGTGGGCTTATACAAATAATATAAAATTCAATAACTATATGCAACATATAAGTGGTAACATTCGACGGTACCAACTCACCAGACCAGAGTAACGTACAACGGTACACAACGTCCAACCAAAACACTGCATTTCCCTTCAACACTCCAATGACGTCACCAGAACATCTGTACTCCCCTACCTTACCACTCGGTTTGTATGACATTATTGTTCCGTTGTGCGTGTTCAAGTCTATTTCACAACAACACGCGTATTGCGTGTTACACGATAGTAGGCCTAAATTGACTCAGTCAGTCCGGAAATTCTCTTCTGACTCATAATTTCCAGTCATTAGATGAACCTTGAACGAGACTTCCTGTATAGGCATAGACGACTTAATTTAACACTAAACCAGTGCTAGCAGCGGATTAGAATTTTTAAGTTTACATGGGCATATTGGCTCAGTTAACACTCAACAGTACAACGAACATATGTGCACTTGCAAAAGTGCATGGCTTATTTATTGACTTGATAAGGAGCCTATAAACGGGTACACCCTCTTTTAACAGTGACCCATCGGAAAT